TTTATGGAGATGGGAAAGAGCCTCTGGGGAAATGCAGGAAGAGTGATTTCTTTAAGTGAGAATAACCTCAAAACCTTGTCTGTGTTCATTATAGCACGTAAGTAACTATGGTTTTGTAAAACTTGCCTTCTTCCCAATTGAGAAGCCTCACTCATGTGCTCATTTTATTCAGCATTCTTTAAGTGTCTTTAATAGGCAAGACAGAATGGAAAGGACATTCAAGTAGAAATCAGAAGGCCTGGTTTCCAGCTTTTTAGTGACTGTGTAATCCTGGGACCAGCAGCTCAGCTATTGGGTTTTTCATCTCCATAACCCAGGGTTAAGGATCCCTCATGGCCTCCCAAATGACCTTGACTCAAAGGTCAAATAAGATAATCTAGCTGTTGGAAAACCATGATGTCCTGCGACAACACCAGGTGCTTCTGTGAGGTGCACAGGTTCTGAGTGCGTTAGGGGATGCAGGGATGAGTAAGATATGATCTCCCCCTGCAGAGGGGCTTCCAGCCTAGTCAGGAAAACAGGTCGTTGGCAATATGTGAGATTAACAAGGGAGGAGGAGGCAAAGGAGCTGTGTTATGGATAAGTATAGAACTGTGGAGACCGGAGTTACATTACGGTGTCATCCATTTTACCAGAAGTAATCTTGTCCTAGTGGAAAGAATTACCCCCATTCTCATTAAATCTTGTAATTACATGCAGGAACTTTTTTACTGTTCCTTTATTTTTGAGGCACTCTTGAAAATCAACATGAATGAAACTAAGGGTCCTGATTCCCAATGCATTCTGTCTCCAGAATTTCCCCCCAAAAGGCTGATGTGGACTGTTCTTTTTTGTTTCTCTGATTCTAACAGATAAGTTCAGCTTCATTTTTGCCTTTATGAACCTATCTTGACTTAAACAAGCAACAAAGAGGAGCGGTTTTATCACTTAAAGGGTGGCAGTCCGTGAAATTCTCACCTCTAAAACTCCAGCTGAGTAAGAACATCAGCGTATTCAGAAGGGGAAAAGCTGACCTAATATTACTGGCTTTCAGCCAGTCTTGAATAAATCATAAACAACTGAATGAACTTGTACTATGAATGGTCAAGATTTTTAAGGCATAGATGTCTGTGCTTTTCTTGTGTTATTTTGCTTCCGATTAAGGTATCAGGATAGGTGAGGTGAAGGTGATAACCACTACACTACAGAAACAAGGTAGAAGACATGAACAGACACTTCTCCAAAGAAGACATACAAATGGACAACAGACACATGAAAACATCCTCAACATCACTTGTCATCAGGGAAATACAAATCAAAACCACAATGAGATACCACCTCACACCAGTCAGAATGATTAAAATTAACATGTCGGGAAACAACAAATGTTGGCGAGGATGCAGAGAAAGGGGAACCCTCCTACACTGTTGGTGGGAATGCAAGCTGGTGCAGCCACTCTGGAAAACAGTATGGAGGTTCCTCAAAAAGTTGAAAATAGAACTACCCTAAAACCCAGCAATTGCACTACTTAGTATTTACCCCAAAAATACAAATGTAGTGATCCGAAGGGGCATCACGTCCCAATGTTTGTAGCAGCAATGTCCACAATAGCCAAACGTGGAAAGAGCCGAGATGTCCATCAACGGAAGAATGGATAAAGAAGATGTGATATATATATACAATGGAATATTATGCAGCCATCAGAAACAATGAATACTTACCATTTACATTAATGTGGATGGAACTGGAGGGTATTATGCTGAACAAAATAAGTCAATCAGAGAAAGACAATTATCATATGGTTTCACTCATGTGTGGAATATAAGAAACAACACAGAGGGTCATAGGGGAAGGGAGAGAAAACTGAATGGGAAGTCATCAGAGAGGGAGACAAACCATGAGAGACTCTTAACTTGAAACAAACTGAGGGTTGCTGGAAGGGAGGTGGGTGGGGGGATGGGGTAATTGGTGATGGGCATTAAAGAGGGCATGTGATGGGATGAGCACTGGGTGTTCTATGCAACTGATGAATTATTGAACTCTACATCTGAAACTAATGATGTACTATATGTTGGCTAATTGAATTTAAACTAAAAAAATATATATCAGGATAGGTATCATATGGTACCATGAAGTATGGCAAGCATTTTGGTTAGAAAGCATTCAGGTGTAGCTCACAACAAAAACAAGAAAAGATGCAACTACTAGTAGAACAGATATGTGTGCTAAGAATTTTATTGTCACTGTTTAACAGATCTTTTAGACTCTTGACCTTTTTTAAAAGATTTTATTTTTATTAATCTCTACACCTACTATGGGGCTCAAACTCACCACCCGAGATAAAGTGTCACATGCTCTATCAACTGAGCCAACCAGCCGCCTGAGACTCACTCTTGTCCTTTTATATCATTTTTATGTTTTTCTTTCTTGGTGTCTTGGCACCTTTAAAAGCTGTTATCGTGAGGGTAGCTCACAGAGCATATCCTTCTCAGGTTTGAATACTCACTATCTTTAACCAGGTTCATGGTTGATTGTAACAATGCAAAAGTTAGGTGCAGGCAGTATTTACAAAACACAGCATTTCTTTCTGTTTCTCTTAGATTTGCAAGGACACTAAACCATCTCTGAAGGGAGGAATTTACAAGAAACTGATTGTGAAAATAATTTTAAATTATTTCAGAAATGCTGGGGTGAGGAAATACTGTGCAGGACATGAGTGAGAAAGTTCTAGTGGCTCTCCGTGGACTGCAGACTGTGCTGCCCTGCACGTGTGGTTTTTCCCAGTTGCCCAGGATAGATAGCATACCTTTAGAGTAAACAATTCAATATATGTTAATTAATTGAATTTAAATTAATTTTTTTTAATTTTTTAAAAAAATTAAGTGATTCAAATGACTAATTAGTTGGCTCCCTTATTTACCTTCCTCATAAGAGGCACTAGAAAGAACATTTAACCCTTGACATCAAAAGCAACATTTATTTCTCATGGGGAGAAGTAGTCAGGACTTTTTTTCCTTACTTAAAAGACTCTGGAATTTATATGGACAAGTTTGTGCCTATAGAGCTTACTAGTGTTTTTCTTCTATATTGATTCTTTTGTTTTGTAATATTGCTAAAAATTGCATTCTGCAGCTTTGTGTTTGCGAGAATGCATCCCATACACTCTGTCACACAGCAGCAATCCTGGGTTTATTATCTCTAACTCCAAAGTATCATTACACAGTAACTGAAAATTAATGATTTTTAAATTAACTATATATGAAAGTTATTCAAAACTGCAGCATTTTCGTCTCCATCTTTTAACAATAGAAAGATAGAGAGATCGTGTATTGGTTAAGAGGTTTTAGAGTTGGGCAGAGCTGAGTTTATACCAAATCTCTACCATTTACTATCCCCATTTCCACATTTGTTAACTAGAGATATATTCCTACTTCACAGAGTTATTGTAAGGATGGAACTAAGGATGATAATATGGGTATTGTGCTTAGTACAGTCTGAAGATATGGCCTAGACTCAACAACGTGTGGGCATCTTTATTATTAACAATGAACAATTTGTAAGCCCTGGATGTGTAACACCAGCAGTGATAAATATGACACATCCCTTTCTTTTATTGACCATTCAGCTAAAGCAGAGTTTGGGGGCTCTTAACCATTTTATTCCTCTATTCATTGTCCAAGTGTAAAAACTGAATTTAAAATTGGTAAAGAGTAATTAGTCATTGTTAGGAAAAAGCTTCTTGCATTTTGTAACCTTGAGCCCAAACCCATGATAATCCTCTATATGGACAATGTTCCATCTTTAAATAACATCTTAATGTCTGCAAGAAGCAAGGTGGAGTAATTACTCCTTATTTTGCTGATTCAGCAAAGGACGAATAAGAAAAAATATTAAATGCCTCAAAGAGATCACAGATTTTTGCACCATTCCCTTTATATCAGCTCAGCCCCCTGACTAATAGGAGCTACTGCTGTTCTGTGGTATTGGCCCTGCTTCACAATAGCAGTACCAAGCATTGTGGCAGACAAACCCCAGTGGGATTAACCCTGGGAATGTTTACATTGACCCATATTAACCACAGTGAAAAATGTGTCCATATTTTAATCTCCTCTGATGGATGATAAATTCGTTGAGCAGCTTGCTCTAAAAAAGTAATTGTGCCTGTCATCAAACAGTTTACAATTACATGGTACTCAACTGGGACCCAGTAAAATTTTACCAACTTGAGGCACAGTCATTAAAACTACATTATGATGTTTTCAGTATTTAATGCCTAAGCTTTATGGAACACTACATCAAAAACTAATGATGTACTGTACGGTGACTAACATAACATAATTTAAAAAAAAAAAGAAAAAAGTGCCTAAGCATTGAAGACTATTTGGAAAATTAAAAAAAAAAAAAAAAAAAGAAAAGCTGTAAACTAGTTTCCCACCACCAACTAGAGCCACTGCAAACATTCTGGTGAATTTCCTTTATGCATCATTTTGTGGATTTTTAAAAATTTATTTTCTCATAAGCATGTTAATGTGATTACATTACCTTCATAAATATTTGAAATATGGATGATCTGTCAAGTGTCTATCCCAGTTTATTTAAGGATTCCATTTTCCCTGTAGCTTGACATTGAAATGGTTACCAATTACTATTATAAATAGCCCTGCAGTATTCATCATGTTTTATAAAACTGCCCTTGAATTTAGGATTATTTCCTTTGTATAGATTCTAAGAAGTGGGATTAATGAGTCAAAAGGTTTACACTCATGAACAATGTATGAGTGAGTATCCATTTTCAAATATATCTGACAACTCTAGGTATTAACTTTAAAAAAAAAAACATTGCTTCTTTGATAGGCAGATTGTTTTAATTGCATTTATTAGATTGACTGAAATCCATTCTTGAGCTTGGCAAGATTTAAACAAGCAAAATGAAGCTATTTTGGTGTATGGTATGAAATGAAGAGCCTAATTTTCCCTAAAAACGTCGCTGTTTTTAATCTTCTGATTCCCGCCTCTTTCAGTTTCACGGGAGATTCTAAACTTGCGTCAAGTATGCGCTATGTGGAAACACAATCAATGCAGATAGGAGCATCCTATATGATTCAGTTCAGTTTGGTGATGGGCTGTGGGCAGAAATACACTCCGCACATGGACAACCAGGTGAAACTGGAGTACTCAACCAATCATGGCCTCACCTGGCACCTGGTCCAAGAGGTAAGTCTATTTTCTCTAATGCTTGTGTAGGCTCCTTCTTTTTACATAGGAAGCAGAGAGTTCCAATTCCAAAAGTTTAGGTTTGGTTCAAAAGGAACAATGTTATTTGTAACTGAGCACTGACGTCAAGTCAGCAATAAGGATTCCACATTCTGCACTATCAGATACTAAATTATAATTGAAAATAAAAAAGAAATGAGAATAACTTCAGGACTGGGTACTCTAGGATGGTGTTTGGAATATTTCTCTAACCCTCTTCCTCCATAAATTTTTTCTAACCCTTCCTTCCTCCTTCCTCTCTTTCTTTTCTCCCTATAGCATGTCTTCATCTGGTCCTTTCTAACTCTCTTTACCTGTAGGTAGTCCATATTAAAAATCTGGCACATCTTGCCTTTAAAAAAGAAAAAGAAGAAAGAAATACATAGATCCAGATTCTTAGGATCATATTGTACTTCTTTACACACATGGTGATCTGACATTGCAATACATGCATAAATAGCACAGTGATTAGAATAATTTTGCCAAATGCCAGTGTTATGATAAAAGGTCAAAATATGGATCTTAAGCCATGTCCATATTATTTTTTTAAAGATTTATTTATTTGAGAGAGCGAGAATGAAAGAGAGAGAGAGTACATGAGGGGGGGAGGGTTAGAGGGAGAAGCAGGCTCCTTGCTGAGCAGGGAGCCCGATGCGGGACTCGATCCAGGGACTCCAGGATCATGACCTGAGCCAAAGGCAGTCGCTTAACCAACTGAGTCACCCAGGTGCCCCATGTCCATTTTTATATGTGAGAATTAAACGACATTTAGTTTCATGGTGACACTTGTTTCCCCGTTTTTTCCCAAATATTTCAGCTTCACAGAGGAAGAATCATGAATTGCATCCATATTGCAAATAGTTAAAATTATGACATTAGATTTCTCTAAGGCCTTTTGCATTTATGGTGAGTGAGTCAACATATTGTCCCTGGAGGAACAGAAGCCAAGTTTAATTTTTGCCTTCCTCTCTCTTAGGAATGTCTTCCAAGTATGCCGAGTTGTCAGGAATTCACGTCAGCAAGTATTTACCATGCCAGTGAGTTCACGCAGTGGAGAAGAGTCATAGTGCTTCTTCCCCAGAAAACTTGGTGAGAGATGACATCGTAGTGACTTTAACTTTTACCATCTCTGTTAGCACGACTTGAATATGAAGAAGAGTTAAGCACAATGGCAAGATGAATTTTCTTTGTCATCAAAAGACCCAGATCTTTCTTTTATACTGAGGATATTTGAAAAATAGAGCTAATGAAAATTTGATTTCCAAACTGTCCTCCTTTTTTTTTATTTTTTTTATTATGTTATGTTAATCACCATACATTACATCATTAGTTTTTGGTGTAGTGTTCCATGATTCATTGTTTGCGTATAACACCCAGTGCTCCATGCAGTACGTGCCCTCTTTAATACCCATCACCAGGCTAACCCATCCCCCCCCCCCCCCCCCCCTAAAACCCTCATTTGTCCTACTTTTTTTTTTTTAATTTTCATATGGTTGACAGTGTTACATTAGTAACATCAGGTGTACAACTTAGTGATTTGACAACTCTGTACATTATGCTGTGCTCACCACAAGTGTAGCTACTGTATGTCACAGCACTACTACCATGCCACTGGCCATATTCCCTATGCTGCGCCTTTTATTCCTGTGACTTACTCATTCCCTAAACGGAAAACTGTATCTCCCACTCCCCTTCATCCATTTTTTCCACCCTCCCTACCCCGTGACAATCAACAGTCTGTTCTCTGGATTCGTTGGTCTGATTCTGCTTTTTGTTTGTTTATTCAATTTTTTGTATTTTATTTTATTTTTTATGATTTTATTTATTTATTTGAGTGAGAGAGGGAGAGAGCATGAGCAAGGGGAGCGGGAGAGGGAGAAGCAGATGCCCCGCTGAACAGGGAGCCCAATGTGGGGACTCAATCCCAGGGCTCTGGGATCATGACCTCAGCAGACACATAATCAACTGAGTCACCCAGGGCCCCTGTTTTGTATTTTAGATTCCACGTATGAGTGAAATCATGTGGTATTTGTCTTTCTCCGTCTGACTTATTTCACTTAGCATAATAGCCTCTATGTCCTAGCTTTTTCTGACCTCCCTTTCTGCACCAATTCAATGAGCTGTTCCTTTAGCTTTGACGTATGTTAAAAGGGAAGGATACGGGAATCCAAAATCTCCTATGTCAAGATGATTTGCATTTCAAGGCCGTTTTCTCACTGCAAAGCCCTACTTTTTTATTTCAAAAAGCTTAATACACAGTTTTTTACTATTCACATTCTCTCAGTAACCATAAAAATCATCCCCCAAGAAGCTAAAGCCACAGTAATTAGGGAGAAATTTAAATATTTGATAATATTTAAGAGAAAAACACCTTTTCCCCCTAAATATTACATAATTTTGTTAGATTGATTGCTCTGGGCATCTGCTGGTGAGGAATAGATTGTAGGAGAAAGAGTGAAGACAGGGAGTCGAGTTAGAAGTTTCCAGGCATTCCATGTTTAGGTGGCTTGGAGTATGACTGTAGCAGACAAGACAAGAGCCATCCTTGTGAAATATATTTTAATCAAATAGGGCTTGCTGATGCACTCCATGGGAGCTGTGGTAGAAAAGGAAGAATCAAAAACAGTTTGTAAATCCGAGGCCTAGGGAAACTGACCGAGGTGGGGAAGCCTGGAGAAGGAGTGGATTTGGGGCAGGAAATGAAGCGTTCTGTTTCTGGGATGCAGAGTTTAAGATACTTATCTATCCAAGCAGAAATGTCAAGAAGCCAACTGGACTTATACATCTGGAACTCAGAAAAGAGGTTTGGGTTGAAGAGTTGAATACCATGAGTACTGTTTGAAGCCCTGTGACAGGATAAGCTTGCCCAAGAAAGAACCTTAGACTAGAAATTAGAAGCTCTCAGTCTATCCTTACCAGTGATTAATTAATCACATGATTTTAATGATTCACAACCTCTTCAAGCCTGATTTCTTATGAGTAGAATGAAGTTTAATTAGATGATCTTAAAAGTCCCTCTCAGTTCAGGAATTCTAAGATTCTGTGACGTGGGTAGTAGGAAAACCATGAAAGAGACAAGAATTGTATTTTTCTGTGGCATCAGCCTTCCAAGAGCCCTTTTGTAAAGAGAAAATTACTAAATAAACCCTTCTTCGATAATTTTACATGGAAGTTAGGCTCCACACAAAAACAATTGGTTAGATAACAACCCAGAATTATTATTATACATCCTTTAGTTGGAGATTGAATTACTGAATTATAGAAGAATGCTTCCTTGATTATTTTTAAGGATTCATCATTATATCAGTTGGAATAAAATGCTTGAAATTTGATTTCCACAGGTTTTTTTATATCCAACTGTGAGCCATTTCCTAGATATTCTGCTAATGCTTTGTATAACAAGTTGCTACTTTCTCTAACATCCTACTTTTTTATGTCTACTGCTGGGAATATAATCAGGATTTGTATTTAATTTCAATGGTATTCCAAGCATATCTATCATGATTATAAAAAAGCAACAGATCAAACAATTGAAATAGTAGTCATACTTGCTGTAAAGCTACTGAGGTTTTTTCTTTATGATTATTTCACCATTAAGTGTATCACCCTCATTATTTAAAAATGTTGATTTTTATTTATTGACATGTAAGGTATAATTTCAAAATTATGATGCTAAGTTCATCTTGATAGTGTATCTTAGAGATGTCTTTTCATCCCCAGAAATGTTATAAACTATTATTCTTTTTTTTTAAGATTTTATTTATTTGAGAGAGATAGAGTGCATGCAAGAGAGCACAAGCAGGGAGAGGGGTTAGGGGAGAAAATGAGGGAAAAGCAGACTCCCCGCTGAATGGGGAGCCCAGGACCCTGAGATCATGACCTGAGCTGAAGTCAGATGCTTAACCAACTGAGCCACCCAGGCACTGCTAAACTATTATTCTTAATTAATGTAGTTTAGACAGTATCCAAAAAATACTGTCCTTTATCAAAAAAAAAGAAAAAAACACCTTTGTATGTTATTTCACATTCAGATGGTATGTTGCATTATTATTTCCTAGCTTACAAGATAGTACCACTGAGTTGAAAGTTTTAGTATAGTCAGAAAAATCAATTCTCATCAATGTTTATTAGACACTTGAGAGGAAATCTATTTGACCCTTAAACACTTCAGTTCCAACACTGCCTGCCACATGTTGGGTACTCATTAAATGTTGGGGCATTGAATAGAATTTTAATTCAGTGTGCCTCGTTGTCTATAGATTATTCCTGCAACCATTTGCCTTTAAATCCATATAACTGAATAACTAAACTCTGCTTTTCCAAATTTTTTTCAAAGCCCTGGGTAAAGAAAGTAAAAATATTTTTTAAAAAGGAACAAACCCAGTAAGATATTTTCTTTTAACGTTCCTGCTAATACTTAAACTAAACATGGTTGCTATATATAAAAAAAAAATAGTGTTCATCTGGTTATTATCATTGGTTTGGGATTTATAATGTTTTTTTAAAAGCTCTGCTATAAAGTGCATTTAGTATCCCTGGCATTCTTGATAACTTTATTATATTCATTTCAAACTTTTGCAAATAGCATGTGTTCTTAAGCATTCAGGAAAACAGAGTGCAGTTTAGTTTGAAGCAGTTTTCCTTTTGGCAAATCTTCGTTCTACTGCTTTGATTCACACATACACAACTCTAAATTGAATACACACAAGCAAATGTGGTCCCCACATTACCAAAGATCTGTTAACTTTGGAAAATATGCTAGATAGGACAACTTAGAGTGGAAATATTGAATATATATACACCTACTTAGAGAAATTATATTGTAGATGAACTGAACATTTGTTACCCAATGAAAATTAATTTTGTTTTTATGAGAGACATTTACATGAGAACAGGGCCTAATGAGACCCAAACACCTGTCAGTTGCTACTTCATAAACAAATCTACACCTAATGACTGAATGAGTTTCAGAATAATTGGGTAAATGTAATTACAGTAACTCTGAAGGTGGAAAATACAATTTAGTCAGCCTTCATTTACCTCAGTTCCTCAGCCTTGATACCTTAATACCTAACTACCAAGAGATGACTCGATGCTATTTTAATTCAGTCTAGAAGTTTATATGGGAAAAAATCAAATAAAGACAAGACTGACAAGTTTTGTTGCTTTGAGGAATCCATAGAGTTTGGGTTTTAAATGCAAGTCAACTTCATTTCATGATCCACATAGCAGTGGTCCCACTTTCAGACCCAATCCGAAGTGCACAAAATTTTCCTTCAAAGAATGCTTAGATCTGAGAGGGGGGGTGGGTTGGCAAATTAAATATTTGTATTGAGGGCAATATTTAGCAGTGATGCAGCTGCAAATCAGTGAGATCACACCTTGTGTTCTCATGCATGACCAGCTGGAGATTGCTCACACAGCTAATTTTTTTTCTCACTAAAAAGGAAGCCAATATTCAACCTCTTCTGATTCCTTTTCTGTTAATTAACATCAGCACATTAAACTGTGGATTGTAATTTTAAATGGAAAAATCCACTTTAAGCTTTTTATCTTAAGGAAATAGTCTCTTTTTCAAGAGTTCACAAGATGCACGTAAGGACTAATTTACTTAGTAAAAGAATTTAGAATGTGTTTACATGTGACTGTTCAGAAACATACATAAACTGGGAAATCTGGGACAGATGTCTGAAACCCTCCCACCCCATTTTAATGTTTGAAATATCAAAACTTCAAAACAATGTATGCCATGGGTTTCACGTAGGCATGTGACTAGATAGGGAATAAACCATCACCTCAGTCAACAACCACCAGAACAATCACTAAATTTACGAGCTAGAAGGGATCTTAGAAATTGGCTTGCCCAATCCCTTTATTTGAGAGGTGAGGAACTAGAAAGGCTGAAGGCTTAAATGTCTCACTAAAGGTCACACAGCTGATAAATTGCAGAGCTAGAGTCCAAGGGGCCAAGTCCCCAGACCCCTAGCACATTATTTACTCCATTACCTACAGAAGGCAGAAACAGGCTGCCCTTTCCTGGCCTGTTCATCCACTCATTGACTCATTTTTTTAGCAGTTTCTTTTGGTACACCTACTTTATTCTGTCCCTGTGCAAACTGTTGAGACAAAAGATAGCCCTGTCCCCAAAAGAGCTCACAGTCTAGACACATGTAGCCTCAGACTTGACTCAGATTATCAGTCCTGACAAGATATAGTCATCTTTCCTTTGCCTGAAACTTAATTTGCTTCTCCTCTGTAGGGCTCCATGCTCTAAAACAGTGTACCTACTTTTATAGTAGGATCTTCTACAAACCATTTCTTAATGGGGCTATGAAAATTGTGATGGCTATTAGAGTTCAAATATAAACTATTACCAGAGAGGAGGTGTATCTGTGTCATTGCATGTATCATGACGTGTGCTGATATGCAGCAAATCAGTGTCTACTGGATGCATCCTGGAATTATCCTACTAGGAATGAAAATGCAACATATTAGCCACAGATCATTGGCAAAATAAACAATCAAGGCTTAGTCTGGATTTTAACAATCTGTTACATACTTAGGGAGTATTTATTATGTGAGTAATTGATGCAGTAGCCGTTAAGGGATCATTTAGAGCAGTTAAGATCAAGTGTATGTGTAGACAGTGTGCTTAGGGAGGGTTCAATCAATGGAATGGAGCATGCACATGAATTCTGCAAATCCTTTTTGTTTTCTTTTGTTTTGCACATTGACCAAAAAGAACTAATCACAATCCCTGAAAATTTCTAGAGGCAAAAAATATGATGGGAATTGAGAAGAATTTTTTGTGACTGTCAGTGGATGGAAACTTTCTTAACATTGCTCTCAAAATACTCTCTTCTTTAGACTTTCCATCTGGTTTAGACGAATCAAGGTCCCAAGTGTTTCTCTGTGTGTAATGGACTGTTTAGCTTTTTGTTTCCACTTAACATCAGCTTGTCCATGAAACCTACCCAAATTAATGTTTCTGAAATAATTAGCAGAATTTAGCACCCAGATGTTCTTACTTCTAGAACATGTTCTTCTTAGAGCACATTGTAGCATGTCCCTCAAGCCCAAAACAATACCCCCAAACAAAAGTTTTGTTTTATATTGAGAGCTCACTGGGAGTTTTCCAATAACTGCTGTTTATTTATTGAAAGAAATTTTATTACCATGATTGAAACACCTCACATTTTCCTCTGTGGAAGAGAGGCTCTTTTGTATATACCTTTTTTTTTTTAATATTCCTTCTTTTTTGTTTGCTTTTCCTAGCATCAAATCTCTGCATAACAACAAAAAAAATCTGATATTTTGTTTTTCTTCAAAACATCGCAAATTAAATTAAGATGGAGGTATATATCCAAACCACAGATTCCTTTTTAACTTTTCGTCATGATCGAATTGTTACATTGGCTAATAATTGAGTAGACAGACTTTCAACTACCAAAGAAAAATGACTGGCAGCTAAATGCAAGTTCCAGAAAGTTTGTCATCTGAAAGAGTCTGAACTCTGACATTCTTCATTCTACCAGATGTTAGTTAAAATATTGTTTTCGCTCCCGTCCCTTGTTTCTAGGTCCAGTGCCACCCGCTTCCGCTGGAGTCAGAGCTATTACACAGCCCAAGACGAATGGGCTTTGGACAGCATTTACATTGGACAGCAATGCCCAAACATGTGCAGTGGGCACGGCTCATGTGACCACGGCGTGTGCAGGTACACACACCGCCACGTGTGATCAATTGCCTGCTTCTCGGGGTTTGTGTTCAGAGGGATAGCATGGCAGTTGTCATCAGAGCGGTACGGACAGACTGATAAATAATGAAGGAGCCAAAAGGAAAACGGTCCTCCTTTCTGCTCTTACTTTAGGTGTAAAAGATGCTGTTACATTTTAAGTGAAGTCTGAAGCCGTATATCCTAAACTTCAAAATCTCACCTCAAGACGAGGCCTCCTGGGTTTAAATTTCAGAGTTTATTAATTAATCCCAAAGTCCTCTTTGGGGGTTAAAAGAGCCTTGCTATTGTTTGTTTCCCTTCCGTTCCCCTGACAGTCTTAAAACACAAGTCAGACAGCTGCTGCGCGCTCTCCTGCGTGGTGTGGCCAGAAGCGTAAGGTTGTAGGCAGGGGGAGACAGTGATTATCGCTAATGAGGATGAGAAAGGAACACACTTGAATACTTAAAGACTCTAAAAGAGACGGAATTTAATCAGAAAGAGGAGCCATAAAACATGGCCAGAGCTACACATCGTATGAGCAGACAAACATTTCCATGTGACTCTCAAGATCTCCAGGAAGATCCCACTCTTCTCCCACGCCACCCCCCAGCCGCCGATACACACGCACGTGTGCACACACATGCACACACAGACGCACGCGTGCACACACAGGCGCACACACATACCCATCTCCTCCCTCATTACTCCTTGATGCCTCGGTTCTGCTGTTACAGCACCATTTCTTTTAAGAAAAGATTTCTTTTCAATGTCAAAAACTGAAGGTTGTTACAACCACATACACAGATTGACATTGCAGAGAAAAATCTCGTGTGAATGCTAAGGTCTGAGCAAGAGGGAGACGTGGGAAATGCAGGTGCGTGGCCATGGCACTCCCAGAAAAGAGGCTGTGACTTGCTTACGTGGCCCTTCCTCTCTCCCAGGTGTGACCAGGGATACCAAGGCACCGAATGCCACCCAGAAGCTGCCCTTCCTTCCACGATCATGTCAGATTTTGAGAACCAGAATGGTTGGGAGTCTGACTGGCAAGAAGTCATTGGGGGAGAAATTGTAAAGCCGGAACAAGGGTGTGGGGTCATCTCATCTGGATCATCTCTGTATTTCAGCAAGGTAAGAGCTAGGGGTGAGTGATGACGAAGGTCTGACTAAGCTATGGGAATACGTGATCCACGCAATGGCTATTTCCATAAGTGAGTGATTTACGGAGCAGTCTGAATTCAGAAGGTACAAACATGGGACAGTTTTATGTTTCCTCACACTGCTTGCTTTTAAATTCCTTTGTCAAATTCCTATCCCTGAACTACATTTGGGAAACTCTGGTAGTTTGATGATGGTTTGGGGTTACTACAAATCCAGGGTAGGGCTGTTGAGAATTCCTGCCCTCCTTGTCCCTGATTTAAATCTCGTGGCTTTCCTCTCCTGCCGTGCCAGCTGGGCTTATGCCTTGAGGGTCTTTGAGTGGGGCAGGGACTCCATGTGGGTGTGTGAGCGTACGGCCTGGGGGAGAGGAGCAAGCAGGGGTGATCAAGGCAAAGTCTCAAGGTTAAGAATAACAGCTGCTTGCTGCAGTCCGATTCCACCACTCCGTAGGTGTGTGACTTTGAGCAAAACCCTTAACCTCGGTGTGGCTTGGCTTCCTCATCGGTACAGTGGAAATAAGAGTATTCTATCTCATCAGGATCGTGATGCAGAGTAAATGAGTCAGTACTTGTAGGTCATGTAGAACAGTGCCGAACACATAGAAAGCACTTCTGTGAGTGTTAAATTTGTCAATCCGTTATTCTCAAGAATATGATTGGAAGAAGGAGGGGTGACGGTGGGGTTTGGGGATGTGCAGAGCTGTTCCCCGGGACTGACTAACTGTCCATGTTGAGCAGGCATCTCGCATCCTATTTGTTGCCTGCTGGTGGTGTCTGATGTTACAGGACTGTCTGAGTCAACTCAGGCTACTATAACAAAAATACCATAGGTTGGGTGGCTTAAATGGAAAATGGGTTTTTTTTCCTCACAGTTCTGAAAGGTGTGAAGTCCAAGATTATGGCACCAGCAGATTCAGTGTTTGGTGAGGGCCTGCTTCCTGGTTTATAGATGGCTGTCTTTTCACTGTGTCCTCACATGGTGGAGAGAACACAGAGAGAAAAAGCAGGCTGTCTTGTGTCTCTTATGAGGGCACTAATACCATCATGAGGGCTCCACCCTCATAACCTAATAACCTGTTAAAGGCCCCACCCCCTAATACCCTCCCTTTAGAGGTTAGGCTTTCAACATATGGATTTGGGGGCACACAGACATGAAGTCCGTACAGAGACAGTGTAGAAGTTTTTCTTGCAGTGTTCACCTTTACTAGAGGCAGCACCAGGTTGGACAGACAGGTCAGTAGACGCCCCCGAGGGACTAAGGTGCCACCCAGAATCTCTAAGACCGATTCTCTTGGAACACGCCCAACCCCTGTTGCTTGGTTGGTGATGGGGAGGGGCGAGCCACCTTCCTCTCCTCCTTTGCTACCATCTAGACAGGACATTATTTTCTTTCTCTCTCCTCTAATTCATCTCTTTATTTAGTCCTCAAAAGGACTAGAGCGGGAGCAGGCCCAGTTCTCCAACCTGAGCTATGTGTCTAACCCACTTATTAGAATGTCAGGTGCTTAAAACCACTTCTTTCCGGCAGGTACTATAGCCACCAATTCCAGGACAACTGGAAATGTCCCAGTCTGCGTCACCTAACAAATACACAGGTGTGGGTGATATACTGTAGGGCTCATATGTTGTGGAATCTGGGCAGAAATCCAAAATAATTTATGCAAATGCAAAAATAGGTACAGGTTTTATTTTGATGCAGGTGCAGAACAAAGAATCAGCAGCAAGCAAACAAGATAGAGGATGATAGAAAATCAGGGATGAATTCCATTTGATGATATTTCCTATCCATTGACATTGAACATCCGCTGGTCATTATTGTTAGAGATAATCGTCCACAAGTGACCAATATGCGTTGCACAGATCTGGACACACTGTGTAATTGTTCAGAAATGGGAAGATTATGTCTCCCATAAGCATCAATTTTAAATAAGATTATGAATCCTTAACCAATATGTACCAAACACCCCAGTAAACACGTATGCATACACACAAATATTTGAAACATAGAAAGGTTACATATCAATATGTATATAACTGTAATTCAAGATGATCTCTATACTAAAGCTACCTGGATCGGTACCTAAGCTCCAAAACTCATTAGCTGATTCATCTTGCAGCCTTATTACATCTTTCTGTACCTCAGTTTTCTCTATTGTAAAGTGGGACTTGGAGAGAATCACTGGGTTAATGAAGGTAAAGAATAAAGAATAATAGTGTTGGGCACATAGAAATCGTTCAATAAGTGTTAGCTATCACAATTACATTTTATGAGAATATATTTAAAACTGGTATCACTAGGTATTTCCATATGTGTGCCCTGCCACTAACTTAAAATCAGTATTTCAGGGGTGCCTGGGAGGCTCAGTCGGTTAAGTGTCTGTCTTCAGCTCGGATCATGATCTCAGGGTCCTGGAATGGAGCCCTGAGTTGGGCTCAGTAGGGAGTCTGCTTCTTCCTCTCCTCCTGCCCCTCCCCCCACTTTTGCTCACGTGTGCGCGTGCGCTCTCTCTCTCTCAAATAAATAAATAAATAAATAAATAAATAAATAAATAAAATCTTTTTAAAAAAATCAGCATCGGGGCGCCTGGGTGTCTCAGTTGTTAAGCGTCTGCCTTCGGCTTAGGTCATGATCCCAGGGTCCGGGGCTTGAGCCTCACATTAGGCTCCCTGCTCAGCGAGGAGTCTGCTTCTCCCTCCCGGACTCCTGCTTGTGTTCCCTCTCTCGCTGTGTCTCTCTCTGTCAAATAAATAAATAAAATCTTAAAAAAAAAATAAAATAAATCAGGATTTCAAAAGTAAAATCATTCTCTTCCCCTCCCAATCCAGCTTTCTTCCTCAATTTTTGTCAAAATATCTGAAGAGCCTTTTTTTCCCTTTTTTCTCTTGTATCAGGCAGATCTGTTTTGAATTCTAAGTGAGAGGAACTAGCTTAAGCAAAAAAGGAGGAAATTTGGTTCATGTAATCAAGACACAAGGTAAAACTGGCTTCAGAGATATCTGGAACCAGAAACTCAAATGCCCACAGAACTCTCTGTTTTCAGGTCAGCTGTCATTTATGAGAGTGGTACCGGGGCCACAGAGCTTTCTGAGCAGCCCTGTAGAAAAATCTGGGGAAGGTTGCGGATTGGCCAATCACAGTTTCCCGGGGAATGGTGTACTCTGAGTGGCATATCCAGAGAGGTGGGATACAGGGTTTGGCAGCCCCCACCAGCAGGGACAATGACCCAAAGGAACAGCTCTGTACATCCACCACCTTTTGCAAACCACCTAAACCTAAAATGTGCTTCTGTCCTGTCCCTCTCCTATCACAGAATTCAGGATGCTCTCTAATACTGCTGCCCTAATTGTACAACTTATTTTCTTTTTTGAAACGTCAGACCCCTGCTCCAAACAGAAATCTCTCCTCCACATCCCACGTTTTGCCAATTTCCCTGTCTTTGCTTAATCTCCATTGCCTACCATGATGCCTTCCACCATCTCTGTTATCCCTATAAACTTTGTAGCATCTGGCTCAAATCCTGCTGCTCTATGGAGCTTTGTGGGACTATGGCAAACTACACTGATCTCTCCATTCTTTGAATTCCTCCCTCATTGGTGTTCTATACATACATAGATCATATTTTTATTTTTATTCTCATAGGACCCAGCAAATTGCTGAGTCCTACTGATTGAGCTGAACTCTAGATAAGATGTTCAGCTCAGAAAAGCATGCCCCGTGGTAGGCATTTACAAATCAGTAAGTACCTTTGAGACGGAACAGATTGGAGAATTGATAGATGATCGTATGACCAAATGGGACTCAACAAGGAGTGGAATTTGGTCTGCGGCCCTAATTGTCATATTGTCACTACACATACTTGTGAACTCTCCTTTCAAGTTTGTGGTATTGTGCCTGGTGTGATTGGCACCCAGTAATTATTACTGAAGAAAGGAATGAATGAACAAATGAAAGAAAATGGGAAAACAAGAGGTTCTAAATAAATGGTTATTTTCAAATAAATATAGTACGATTATTTTTCTAGTAGCATTTTGTTTAACGAAGATTTTAATAGGCATAAGGGTAAAGTTTTATGAAATGTTTTAGAGGTTGTGTTATAAAGTCTCTAGATTCTGAAAGTGTTACTTGTAAATGTGTTTTATTTCATTGAAACCCTTAAAGCAGTGAGCCATTTTGACCTAGAATGTGGGGGGGAAATAGGAGAGTATTTTTCACATTCCAAGAGCGAGGAGATCTGTAACCTATGACTCGCATCACACATGCGTGTACATGTTATATGTGTAAATATGTCTACACACGTAAATACATTGATCATAGTAGAATAGAGAAACTGCAAAGCCTGTGTTGCATCAAATTCTAAATTCTGACAAAAAGTTTGCCATGAGCCATTTCCTTTTTCTTTTTTATCTCCCTTTAAAACAGTGTTCAGCATTTCAGGTCACTGAACAAAAGAAAATGATTTGTGCTATTCTCTGGGAAAAAACATCTTCAGTGCCAAACTAAGCATTTGTATGATATTTTCCACCACTTACAAAAATCCCACAAAACACTTTCAAAACCTTTGTCGACCAACACCGTAGTTTCCTGGAAAAACAACACCACTCTGTGATTTTCACAATAGACCAATCATTCCAACCAGCTAATTGTGATAATTGGATTTTTATAATTCTCCTCACTCTACATCTTGATCCTTCTGGCTCATTTCCACGTGCCAAATTTTTCATAGAAATTTGCTGGATTGGAATTAACTAGCAAGGTTCTGTAGGTTTTCTTCTGAAAATCATTCTTCCTGTAATGATCCTGAGGCATGAAAATTCTAGGCCAGATTATAATAACCTCTGAGGTTCAAATCAACAAAAAGAAAAGTTAAAAGTGAATAAAGCACGTTGAAAATGCATATTACTTGTAAGCTTTTCTCAAATACTTACTTAAAATTGAGAGTTCCAAAAAATAAGTTTCTGTTTCAGAATTAACTTCAGTTCTCATTTCACTGGTACCCTTGTTTATTTTGGAATCTCTTAATTGGCTTTAGATTTATCAGTAGCAGTGTACTGCTTTAATTATCCCCAAGTATTTCCCCTGTGACTTCTAATAATTGTAACCCTTTCTTAATTAACTTAGTGGATTAGAGGAGGGTTTAAATTTTAAGTGTGAGGGGTGTTTTTCTCTATACTATGTATCCTATCTCAATTTTTCTTCCTGACTTTTAATTGAACTCCTTGGGAGCCCTCCAAGACCAGTTCAGTGCAGTCTGTGGATTAGCTTTGGCAGTATCTGTTTGGGTGGAAGAATCTCATGAGCAAACCTTTTTTCCGTCCCATTAGCATGAACCCACTTACTTACAAGAGGACTGATGACAAACCTTGTCAATTTGAACCTAGTACTTCACAACACGACTGTGACATGTAGGGAACACACGGAGCAAAGGAAGCAAGTTGCTGGATTTGAGGAAATTTTTCACATTTTTAAAACACAAAGACCATTTCATAGTCACAAAAACTTACTGAAATGATTCCTCCCGACCTCTGTGTTTCCAAGAAAGGACCGAGACAGAGAGACTAGGAGCCTCAGAGACTTGAGTACTCTTTCTTTTTGTCAGGAAGTTTCTATTTTGCCAGTTTCACTCTAATTCCCAAGGAGGAGAGGGGATCAGGGCATATCTCTGGAGAGGGTGTTTCCTCAGTAAGGCATGCCATGTGCTCGGCAAATTACGTGCAACGTGTATTTCATCTAATTGTCACAGCACCCTATAAGGAAGGTATTATTACCCATATTGTACCTTTGAGGAAAATAAAAGCTCAGAAAGGTCACACAGCTAGTGAACAGCATGAATAATGGGCTAAAATTCCAACCCAACTCTAACTGATTTCAAAGTACATGGTCTTTCTTCTCCACAATCTGCCTGGAGGAGATTTACAAAGCAAATAGAGGAAGTGTTTTAATTAAAATTAATTTTGCCTTATTTTTAAAGACTTTTGAATACTTTTTCTATGATTAGCAGTTCCCAAGGGTCTCATAACCAAGTCTGGGAGTCAATGATGCAGAGACTAATCAAACGTAGTCAGGAACAGTTACTGTAACCTGAGCAAAGAATTAAATGGCATGACTTGCACCTCTCAACGTTAAATGGGGACAAAATCATCTCCCCGGGGTGCTAGGATGTTTGTATGATCTTGAAACTGAAACAGCAGAGTGCCAGTGAGCCCCCAGATGATTGAATCTATGATTCTTCCGTCTTTTGGAAAGGCTGGGAAAAGACAGCTGGTGAGCTGGGATCTGGATACTTCTTGGGTGGACTTTGTCCAGTTCTACATCCAGATTGGCGGAGAGAGCGCTGCGTGCAACAAGCCAGACAGCAGAGAGGAGGGCGTCCTCCTCCAGTACAGCAACAACGGGGGCATCCAGTGGCACCTGCTAGCAGAGATGTACTTCTCAGACTTCAGCAAACCCAGGTAACCACCCCGGATGGCCTCCCGCTGGTTTCCAGGAATGGTAAAGAGTACATTTTTGTGCACTGTTTCCAAAATATGACTAACTCTTAGAAAAGTAGACACTACATCAAAAACTAATGATGTACTATATATGTTGGCTAACTGAACATAATAAAAAAATGAAAATTAAAAAATAAAAATAAAAAATAAAAGCAATAAGTAGACAAACTCATAAATATCTGACTTAAATGATAGCTCAGCATATACAAATTTCGTTTCATTTGTTTCTGGACAAAAAGTACTTGTTTTCATGGCTGAATTTTAAAAAAACTTAAGAAAAATTGTGACTAGAGGAAAAGTAAAACAATTGACCAGTTTTCCTACAGAAAACTCACTTTTCCCATTACAGGTTCTTTAAATACACACACACCATATATTATATATATATATATATATATATATATATATATATATAAAGTTATTTGTATATAATAAAATTAGTATTAAATTAAACAACGATGTATAAAATATAAATTTATATATGAAAATATAAATTTATATAAAATATGTATAAAAATTATTTTTATATGGAGAGAGTATAAACATACATTTATATTTTAACATATAAATATATATGTTCATTGGTTAGATTTAACAGCAAGATAGATTTTATTAAAAGTTTTCATATAGCACCAGAGCGAATCCTAGACTAAGTATCTGTGGGGCTCAGATTTTTCTAAAATTTTTTACTGGCCCATCCCTGTCTTTATTTTCATGGATGAAGAATATATGTAATAAGTAAAAACCATGACAGTTTAGGAGTTTGGGAAAATAACTCATGTTTAATACTAATACCTACCTATACCAGCAATCAGTGTATTTAGTTATTTTACAATTATGTGGCATTTTGAAATTCTACATTTATACTTTATATTTTATATGTCATTAAAATCTATTCAAGGATATCACTTTTAGAGTATTCCATTTTATAATCTCAGGATTTGCACTTTAACATAAAGACAGAATCTTCCTTTATATGTTGACCATCAACCGTGTCAAGTTTTAACATCTTGTTTTGCATTTTACAACTGAACCTTGTTTTATTGAAGAAGAATATTATCGAAGACTCTATAGATCCAATTCTCACAAATTAAATATATTTGAACATACTGTATAACATATAGCTATTTTGTAGCTTGAAGGTTCCTAAGTTTGTTGTTTTAAAACATTGAGTCATTTAAAGGTGACATAACTTTCCATAATATAACATAAGTAAACACGCAGACAGACCAACCAAAAGCTTTTCTTCTAAGGGACACAGAGAGAGGCAGAAACCAGAGGGGAGTAACTGGGAAAAATGAGAGACATAACCTCCAGGGAGAATGTCAGGAACAGCGTGTGGGAGACCGAACGTGGTGACATTTCCCCCAGTACAGGACAAAGGGAATTGATACTGGTGCCAAACGAGTTTAAACAGCAATTTAAAGTAATTCAAATTATTTTTCCCAAACATTATCATTGTCAATCTGGAAATTATTCAACATTCAGTAAAGTGACTAGATTACTGTATAGACAAACAGAAATTCAATAGCTTTTTTAAATTTCAGAAATATTCAGCTTTTATTTATGGGAATTTTTCTTTAGGGCCAGAATATTTCACCACATTCTCAAAGAGTTCTATGACACTAAAATGGTGGGGAAATTTTGAGTTGGGAGATATCAGAAAAAGACCCCATTCATGGTGGCAAATACATAAATATAAGGAATAACTTTAACCAACAGTACTGAGCATCTCTGTAAAGAAGAACTACGAAACTTCAAAACTTCCCTCAGAGATATAAAAGAAAACAAATAAATGGAAAATAACACATCTCTGGGTAGGAAAACTAAGTATTGTGATATGAAGATAATCTCTTAATTTATATCTCATGCAATTCCAATGAAAATCTTAGTGATGTGTTTTGGGGAACTTTTTTATCTAGAAATACAAACTGGCAAAAAAGCTTAAACTTTTGGGAAAAAAATAGAGGAATGCCCTACATGATTTTAAAACATACACTGTATAACCTAAATAATTTAAATGGTGCATGGATAGAACAAACAATGAAGGCAAATGGATGACCTAGAAATTGACTCACATATATGTAAAAATATGTATATTAAAACAAGGTACATGAACTATCAGTGAAAAATCAAGTGGTGTTAGAAAAAAATGGGTAGGCTCTTGGGGAAAATTATCTATTTAGATTATTACCTGACCCCATCAAAAACTGTTAAAGACTGGTTAAAGATTTATTTATTTATTTTTAAAGATTTTATTTATTTATTTGAGAGCAAAGAATGAGAGATAGAGAGCACGAGAGGGAAGAGGGTCAGAGGGAGAAGCAGACTCCCTGCCGAGCAGGGAGCCCGATGCAGGACTCAATCCCGGGACTCCAGGATCATGACCTGAGCCGAAGGCAGTCGCTTAACCAACTGAGCCACCCAGGCGCCAGACTGGTTAAAGATTTAAACATTTAAGTGAGTATCTGATTTTAGAAAGAGACTTAAACTTCCTAAACACAAATACAATGGAAGAATTAACAGAGAAAAGGGCTACTCACATAGAAATATACTACTTGCAGACATAAAACTACATACACATGTAACACATCTCTGTCAAAGAAAACAGAAAACAGTGAAAGAAAAAAAAAACTGAGAAAATATTTTCCACCAATATGAGAAACAGAGGGCTGATGTTCCTGTGAAGAGCTTTAAAAAATGGGTAAAAGAAGTGAGTCGATGTTACAAAAGAGGTTTAATTAAGCCTAGAGGTTTAATAAAATATGACTGTTGCAATAAAAAGATACCATTTTTCAACAGTCTGGTGGTCATTTTTTAATAATAACACCAGTGCTGTCTCCACACGGGAGCAGCAAGACAGGTGCTCTCGTGTCCTTCTGCAAACTGTAGGACTGTTCCAGGAGGAAATTTGGAAAAAGCGAGAGCCTTAAACATGCCTAGTTCATTCAGCCTGATAATTCCATTGCTAGGAATTTTCCCTAAAGAAATAAACTGAGTATCAGATAAAGGGCTAGTATCCAAAATCTATAAAGAACTTATCAAACTCAACACCCAAAGAACAAAGAATCCAATCAAGAAATGGGCAGAAGACATGAACAGACATTTTTCCAAAGAAGGCATCCAAATGGCCAACAGACACATGAAAAGGTGCTCAACATCACTCGGCATCAGGGAAATCCAAATCAAAACCTCAATGAGATACCACCTCACACCCGTCAGAATGGCTAAAATTAACAAGTCAGGAAACGACAGATGTTGGCGGGGATGTGGAGAAAGGGGAACCCTCCTCCACTGTTGGTGGGAATGCAAGCTGGTGCAACCCCTCTGGAAAACAGTATGGAGGTTCCTCAAACAGTTGAAAATAGAGCTACCATACGATCCAGCAATTGCACTACTGAGTATTTACCCCAAAGATACAAATGCAGGGATCCGAAGGGGCACATGCACCCCAATGTTTGTAACAGCAATGTCCACAATAGCCAAACTGTGGAAAGAGCCTAGATATCCATCGACATGAATAGATAAAGAAGATGTGGTATATATATGTGTGTGTATACACACACACACACACACACACACACACAATGGAATATTTTGCAGCCATCAAAAAATGAAATATTTATATATATATATATGGTATATATGTATATATATATATACATATATACACACACAATGGAATATTTTGCAGCCATCAAAAAAATGAAATATTGCCATTTGCAATGACATGGATGGAACTAGAAGGTATTATGCTAAGTGAAATAAGTCAATCAGAGAAAGATAATTATAAGATCTCACTGATATGTGGAATTTGAGAAACAATACAGAGGATCATAGGGGAAGGGAAGGAAAAATGAAACAAGACGAAATCAGAAAGGGAGACAAACCATAAGAGACTCTTAATCTGAGGAGACAAACTGAGGGTTGCTGGAGTGGAGGGGGTGGGAGGAAGGAGTGGCTGGGTGATGGACATTGGGGAAGGTATGTACTATGGTAAGCACTGTGAATTGTGTAAGACTGATGAATCACAGACCTGTACCCCTGAAACAATACATTATATGTTAATAATAAATAAATACATAAATAAATACATAAATAAATTATATTATGTAGTACACAAAAAAAGAAAGAAAGAAAGAGTGAGGGGGCACCTGGGTGGCTTTGTCGTTAAGCATCTGCCTTCCTCTCAGGTTGTGATCCCAGGGTCCTGGGATCAAGCCCCTCATCGGGCTCCCTGCTCAGCAGGAAGCCCATTTCTCCCTCTCCCACTCCCCCTGCTTGTGTTCCCTCTCTCGCTGTCTCTCTCTGTCAAATAAATAAATAAAATCTTAAAAAAAGAAAAAGAAAAACTGAGGTGTAGCTAAAGCTTTATGCATAAAGATTTTCATTACAGAATTATTTATAACAGGGAAAAGTAAAACAATAGTATGTCTTGTCATAAAAATATATAGACAGTAAAATGATTTTAAGAAATAATTAGGGATGCCTGGGTGGCTCAGTTAAGCGTCTGCCTTTGGCTCAGGCCATGATCACAGGGTTCTGGGATCTAGTCCCACATTGGGCTCCCTGCTCAGCGGAGAGTCTGCTTCTCCCTCTCCCTCTACTGCTCCCCCTGCTTGTGCTCTCTCTCTCTTTCTCTCTCTTTCTGACAAATAAGTAAATAAAATCCTAAAAAAAAAGAATTATACTGACATGAGAATGTACTTATGATATAATATGAAATTTGAAACTGAAATAAAAACTGTATTTTACATATATCTCACCTATGTAAAAGATTACATGCTTTCATGATATACATCAAGGTGTTAACAGAGGTTAACCCCATGCAGAAGATTATGGGTGATTTTCTGTTGCATTTTTAATTCCTATTAACGCACAATAAGAACTGCTTTGGAAAAAAACTAATGCTATTTTAATGTAATAACATACAAAGGTACAGTTTTTTTCGAGGTTTTTCTTAAAAAATGTGATACCATTGTTGTGGTAATCAAACGACTGTTCAGTAAATCAAACTTAGTAGAAATATTTGCCTCCAAAAAGTACAATTCCAAATGGAATAAAACATGAGCAGGACTAAAGGCACTTAAGATTTTAAACCTCTTAATCTCTCTAAACTTGGAAACTTTTGGGGGCGCCTGGGTGGCTCAGATGCTGAAGCAACTGCCTTTGGCTCAGGTCATGATCTTAGAGTCCTGGGATCGAGCCCGACCTCCCTGCTCAGCCGGGAGTCTGCTTCTCTCTCTCCCCACTCCTGCTCGCTCTCACTCTGTCTCTCTCTCTCTCAAGTAAATAAAATCTTAAAAATAAACTTAGAAACTTTTCAAAAATATCAAGAGACCAAACAAAACTGAACTTTCTCTTATTGCTATTCTTGTTATTTTAACAGCTGCTAAGAACACAGCTTTTCCTTTACAGCCATAAATGATTTGCTTTTATGCAGATTCGTCTACCTGGAGCTGCCAGCTGCTGCTAAGACCCCTTGCACCAGGTTTCGCTGGTGGCAGCCTGTGTTCTCGGGCGAGGGCTATGACCAGTGGGCCGTCGATGACATCATCATCCTGTCAGAGAAGCAAAAGCAGGTCATCCCGATTGTGAACCCAACTTTACCTCAGGTATCTTTCTTATGTCTGAGCTCCAGGAAGACAGGATTGTAAGAGTAGATGGGATTAAAGCACTTCTCACTTCCCCCAAAGATTTAGTGCTTGACCCTTGAACCTAAGTTATAAGTAATATAAGTTTTCAGTGTTTGTACTTACTTTTCTGATTTGCACTTAATTGTTCTGTTATCTCTCTATGCTACCAGTTCACAGATTATTTAGATAGATAGACGGATGATAAATAGATAGATAGATAGATAGATAGATAGATAGATAGATAGATAGATAGATATAAAAAGACTAGGAAGTCTGGCCAAGGCGTCAAGCACGATTATGTCTGTTTATAAAATTAGATACATAGTAGCAAAATATTTTCTGTTGTTAAATCATCAGGAAAAAAAGTTTGTGGCAGTAAAAAAATAATAATTTAGAGATTCTGCTGTATTTTCCTAGAAATACAAATGGTACATAGCCCTGCATATCATGAACTGAAAATCCCTTTCTCGTTTTCAAAGTTATCCAATTGCCTTTCTGTGTTGTCTGCATTGTTTCTCTTAGAACTTTTATGAGAAGCCGGCTTTTGATTACCCGATGAATCAAATGAGTGTGTGGTTGATGTTGGCTAATGAAGGGATGGTTAAAAATGAAACTTTCTGCTCTGCCACACCATCAGCCATGGTATTTGGAAAATCAGACGGGGATCGATTTGCAGTAACTCGAGATTTGACTTTGAAACCTGGATATGTGCTACAGTTCAAGGTATTTATGCACAGATCTCCTCCCAGGGCAGGTCAAAGAATAGAACATCTTCCAGACCCATAAGTGAAATCGAAAGGACACACATTTTTCAAACTCTCTTAAGGAAGGGACTCACCTGAAAGAGGTTCGATGATCTTAGAATGGCACAGCTGTCCAGTTAGCTCTGCCCACAAGGACAAAAACTGGTCAGTTTGAAAACTGACTTTTAGATTTTCAGTCTAATTGTGACTTAATGAATCCCATGCTTCTGAATGGTAAGAGAGAAGCTCTCTTTTTCAGTTTATGAGTGCTTTTTGGACTTCTGAGTTATTTTGTGGTTTTACTATAGTACTTTCAAACAATTGCCCTTCCTTTGATTTAGTAAAGTCGTACCTTAATTATCACTGTTCTCTTAAAAGCTCGCTGTTTTTCAGCACTGTGATAACATGTCAACGTGTATAGCAAGTATTTACTTTGACAAGCTCTTTTTTCAGAAGCCTAATCAAAATTTCATTTTGTTTATAATAAAGTCCCATTGGTGAATTCTGGGGTCGAAAGTAATGCAGTTTTAATGAGCTAGCACAACTACATGGTCCTTACATAATGGCAGGATGGAGATGGTAAATAATTTACAAATGGAATTATTAAAGAGATCAGATGTTTATAGGCAGCTCTTCAAATATCATTTCCACAGGTCTGTAAACAAGGAATGTTAGTCATAAATAAAATTAGTGAAATGTTATCCTTCTCTGTTTAGAGTTTGACGCTAAACTACCATGAAAAAACCATTAATAGCAGTATATGACTCGGTATTAATTCGTTGGTACTGCCTTAAAATGGTAACAAAATAACAGCAATAGCAAATACATTGGCTGAAATACTATGCTGTTTCTCACCTGACACCTTTTTGATTTAATTAGTCAAAAAATCATGGTAGTGTAGGTGTTAAAATCTGCAAGATGATATTCTGATGTTTAAAAAATCTAAATCAAGCAAACATTATTAAATGTTCCAAGTACTTAACCAGTAAGAATGCACAATGTGTTGAGAATCTCAATTCTCAAATCACATCAGCAGAAAACTTTTGATTGTGACCATTAGTTGATAGTAGATATGTGTTATGGGTCACTTGGGAATTGATGATTAATGTGTATTTGGAATCTGTGACAAGAACTTGGTGTCATTTGTACACAGTGCTGGTACATTTTTTTTGTAACTGTGTGCCATTTGTCAAACACTAGTTGCTAGGAATATAGACATGAAAAATATGGCCCTAGCCCTCAAGGAGCTCAGAAACTATCAAGTGAGCCAGAAAAGAGAACAGTCATTATCACAGGAGTGTTGTAGTAGAAATAGGCTCTGGATGCTATGAGAGTACCTGGCATAGGGCCTGGCAGGTGCTCCAAAAACAACTGTTAGTTGGATGGATGAATAGATGGATGGATGGATGGATGGACGGAAAGAAGGATAAATTGAAATGGAAAGTTTCCAGAAATACAGATTTAGCCAGATGAACAATGGAGGGGGGAACAATTCCAGTTAGAGGGAACAAAATGTACAAATATATGAAAATACATGAAAGTGCAAATGAGAATAGACAATTTGGAAACTTTCAGGAGCTTGGAGTATGTGCCATAGAGGTAAGAGAGAAAGTTGATCCTAACTGGTTTTATATGATACACTAAGCCACTTGGACAATAACCCAAGAGCAATGAGTCATGGAAGATTTTTAATCCATTAAGTGCAAGAATCAGACCTGTTTTAGAGAGGTCATTCTGGCAGTAGTATGGGTGTTGACTTAACAAGAGGAGAAACTATAATCAACAAGTACATTTATTCATTTATTCAACAAATATTTATAAAGCCTTTACTCTGCACCAGGCTCTGTTGTAGGCTATGAAAATAAATAGGAATAGAGAGTGCGGTGCAGGGTAATTATTATTTTATAAAGGGTTGTCAGGTTCCCTCACTAATAAAATGACTTTTAAGCTGAGACCTATAAAGTTAAGAGGGTGAGTCATGTAGCTATCTGGGAAAGCACATTCCAGGCACAGGGCACACAAAGTACAAAGGCTTTGAATCCAGAGTGTGCTTGGAAAAGTTCAGAAAATCACAAGGACGCCATTGCGATTAGAGCACAAAGAGACAGAACGGAGAGACAGGTAGCAGAAAGGAGAGAAGTGCTCCGTTGTGGAATATACTCTGAGCAAAGAAGGGATGCTAGAGCAGTCATCAAAGGAAGAAATGAGGAGGCCAGATTAAGGCATTTCGTGGGATTATAAAAATAAGGAGATGGATCTGAGAGATGTTAAAGGGGCATAGTCAACAGGTTCTGGTGACCTGTTGGATGATAGAATGGAGTTGAGAATGACTCCATTCTGGCTCCAGTCACTGAAACTGGAGATACAGTCAGAGGAGGATTTGTGTGAGGGTGGCAGATGATGAGAGCAGACTTGGGCCTGTGGAACGAGGGGTGCCTGGGGACTGCTGAAGGCGAAATGGCAGGAATCAGTTCTGGACATTTCCAGAGAGCTGGAGAGGGGCCTGGTCTGGGAGTTACAGATATAGAAGGGATTTGAAATGATGATTGTGAATGAGATTTGGGAGCATGTATAGACTAAAAAGATAAGAAAGCCGAGAATTGAATACTAGAAAACACTGACAAATGATCAATTTAAAAAGGCACAGACTTGAGAACTGAAGGTTCTCGAGACTTGCCTACTTTAGAAACAACAGCAGTCGTAAGAGGTCTACGATGAAAAGCTAACTGTGTGTGCCTATTGTAATTACTGTCACCATACACCAACCGAAAGCTATGCTTGCTTATGCGTAATAAGAGGAATTTGTCAGGGCGCCTGGGTGGCTCAGACGTTAAGCGTCTGCCTTCGGCTCAGGTCATGATCCCAGAGTCCTGGGATTGAGCCCCGCATCGGGCTCCCTGCTCGGTGGGAAGCCTGCTTCTCCCTCTCCCACTCCCCCTGCTTGTGTTCCCTCTCTTGCTGTCTCTCTCTCTGTCAAATAAATAAAATCTTAAAAATTAAAAAAAAATAAAAGGAATTTGTGTTAGAGGAGTTTAATCATGCATCAGAAATTGTCAAGTCTTTGCTTATTATTGTTGACTTTGAACTATAGAAACTTTGATAAATGTATCACAGTAAAATTTCTACAAGCCCAATTACAAATCCTTCTGAGAAATGCTTTCTAGCTGTGAGTATGGAATAAGGAAAATATAGAATCTTCTTTTGAAAGACTGGATCAGGCTACCAGTAGTCACAAGGATGAAGTGGTTGACCTCTTGAGCTCTGGGCCAATATTATTTGCCTACAGCCCTACCTTTCCTTCATTCTTTATTCTGTGGTCATGATCATGTTCCTTTGAGTGCTTACTTCAGTGTTTCTTTTCTATAAAATTTGACTGTTCTTATCTATAGTCTTATACAATTAAATTCTATGGTGGCTCCCACCAACAAATGAAATAAGATATGAATAGGTAATTCATATAAGATAGCATATAATTAAATAAATATCAGGAAAAGAGCTTGACATTTATAATTACTGAAAAATAGCAACTAAAACAGTAATAAAATCATTTATACATTTACCAATTTAGAAAGAAACTGTTTTAAACTTGAATAATATTCAAAGCTGTGGTAAAACTGATTCGTTTGAATTGATTAAAAATGAACACATATAAATAAAAAGTTTTAAGTGTTTCTATGTTTTGACTTAGTAATACTACTACTAGAAATTTATCTGGTGATAAGAGATCAACTGAAGAAAAAGATATACATTCTTTGCAATGCCACATATAATAATAAAATAATAGGTTAAATGGAAAGTAGAAGGAAAGTTCTAGAAGTGTGATAACTTCAACTATATGACCAAAATATACACTTCTTTCTAAAATTTAGAGGAGTAAACAGAAAAAATGAAAACACTTGTGCTAGGCCATTGGGATTTAAGTTACTTTTCTTTTCTTTTTTTTTTTCAAGTTTTTTTCATGTTGTTAATTCTGTGATGACATTCCACTACATGGGTACCCAGGACAATAATTGTTTTATTTCTAGATTACTTTGTTTATTTGATGCAGTGGCAAAGGCTTAGCTCTTTGATCTAAGTTGGCAATGATTTCTTACTGAGTTTTGGCAAGAAAATAGAGTAAAGATGCTTATTCCATGGAAAACAGGGAGGGTAACCCTCTTTCAGGTAACCTTCTTGTTCTGAAGAGGATAGCTCTTCATCTTCTGCTTCCCTCTGTTCATATGCCTGGAATGAGAGAAGAAAGCCATTTCTTGGCTTCTTGGATTTTATCCCTGGCTCCAACATCACAGATACCCTGCTTCCCATTTCCCTCCTATAATCCCAAGAAATCCACAAATTGGTGCCTGGCCCAGCTTTTCTTAAAAAGCACCTGTTGTTCACCTAAAGATTTCTAGAACCTGTGGAAGGGTCTTTGTTGGAATTGAGACTGAAAGTCTTATCGTTGTCAATATAAGGCAGATTTGGTAGCAAGAACCCTGGCTGCTGTAGGACCTAATGTGTTAAGTGATAACTTGGAACCAAAACCTTGGATAATCCTGTCTTTCCTTTTGACAGCTAAACATAGGGTGTGCCAATCAGTTCAGCAGTGCTGCCCCAGTTCTTCTTCAGTACTCTCATGATGCGGGTATGTCCTGGTTTCTGGTGAAAGAAGGCTGTTACCCAGCTTCTGCAGGCAAAGGATGTGAAGGCAACTCCAGGGAACTAAGTGAGCCCACCATGTATCACACGGGGGACTTTGAGGAATGGACAAGAATCACCATTGTCATTCCAAGGTCTCTTGCATCCAGGTAAAGTGACCATTCTTATTATGTGCCATAGGCGTTATTTCTTGGGAGCATAGATTTATCTCAATATCATCATTCCGGTAACCTACAAGAATTCATATAGTCTAGCTATATGTAGTCACAAAATGACTCTTGGGGAAAAGAGCCCTGGGGCAAAATTCCCAAAGTAGGAGTGTGTGCATAGGCGCACATGCATATACCCCCTGCGTGCTTGGCAAACAGACGTACTCATTTATTCATTCACTCAACGAGTATTTATTGAGCACCGTTCTGGGCACTGGGAGTACAGCAGTGAACAAAAGATGTTAAAAGCTAAGAGTCACAAGTCATTATTATGTCTGACTTTCACTTTATAGAGATTTTGGATAATTTAATGCCTCCCTGTGTGGACAATTTGAGATATCTTGTAATATAAAAGATCCCTTTAAATGACTATTAAAATAATAGAAAGATTAAAAATCATTTGACAGAGAAATGAAATAAATGGATAAAGGAAACTTAAAGTGAATTAGTTTCATTAATAGGGCAATAAATTTAACTCTCTTTTCTAGCAGCCTAGCACAAAGGGAGAAAACGCAGGGTCATTTAGTTCTCGTGTTTGGGTAAAAAGAAAAAAATGCATTCTGATTTTTAAGAAAAAGATACAATTTTTTTCCTTGCTCAGTATTCTAGAATAAATATATAGCATGCATAGATATTCTTGTGCCAGGTAAGGTAGATAACACAGAGATCAGTAGGTTTAACTCTATCATTTTATGAAAGATAAAGAAACATTCTTCAAGTGGACACTTCTTAATTGAATCCCAGAGTGTAGCATTAAATTGTGACTAAGTCAAGGCATTTCTGCAAAGCCTAGATGCTATAAATCTACTTATACTGCTTTCTGGTCGTGACTTAGTATACACTTGGAATATTCATTAGTGCCATTTAGCAGTATTTCCAGCTTGCTTCCTTCCTAGAATATAGTAGGATTTATATTTTCCTCACACATTTTAAAGTTTGACATGGCCTAATAAAATGTGAATGGAAATGAAATGTGTGATTTTTAAGAGCCCGTGTGCATTTTGCCATGTTCTCTGCTTTTGAAAGCATGTTTGGAGACGTAGTTTACATCAGTCTGGGTCCCTGACTGTCTACAACAAGCAGACTTCCTTGCCCACCTACACTGGACATACTTGCATAAGCAAGAAATAGACTTTTGTTGAGTCAAGCCACTGAGATTGGGGATTGTTTGTCACTGAGGAGTAACTGATCTCATTCTGACAGATACAGTGGTAAAAGTTTAGCAATCTTTTATTCATAAAGTTCTTGGAGACCATTCTGAATGTGACATCTTTCACCAGATTGATCACTGAACTTACTGTGCATCATCTAGCTAGATAAGCTGGTTATGTTCTCTGCCTCGCTCATTACTTAGGTGTGCATCTCTCAAAAATTACATCCCACACTTTGGTATACAAACTTCCCAGATAGGGAGAGAACTTGTTTAGCCAAGGATGTATAAGTTTCTGGGTTAATCTACTAAACTTTGAAGCATAGTCTTTAAATACCAATTATTCCAAGAAAGAGTTTGTCAGTCAGGGGATCTAAGTCCACCTGTAAGTAATTTTTTGTCTTTATATGCCGGTGTTCTTTGTTACTACAAAGAACTTAAAGAGAGACTCAGATGATTTGATGTATGGTGGCAAAGTTGATGGGTTGGCCATCTTTGGTGAAATCTTAAAAAATTTAAGAATTTGACTTGCACTGTGCCTTAGGTAGAACAGGCCGAGCTGCTGTAACAGAGAAACAAATACAAATGTTTAACAAGGCTTAAACAAGATAGAAATTCTTTCTCCTATCACAGCCCAGAGGTGAGCATTTCAGAGCTAACAGGGTGGTTCTGCCATTCTGAGCACAACACTTTCATCTCTGGATCCAAGGCAGCCATTCCAGATCTTATCATCTCTTAACCAGTAGAAGGAAAAAGTAATCAGGGATGCATAGATGCATTTCTTTTTAAGATTTTATTTATTTGTTTGTTTATTTGAGAGAGAGAGAGAGCACTCAAGCAGGGGGAGGAACAGAGGGAGAGGGAGAGAGAGAATCCCAAACAGACTCCCTGCTGAGTGCTGAGTCTGACTCAGGGCTATATGTCACGACCCTGAGATCACGACCCTGAGATCATGACCTGAGGCGAAACCAAGATTTGGATGCTTAACCGACTGCACCACCCAGGCGCCTGGATACATGACTTTTTAAAAAATCATCCTTACTCCTTGTTTATATTACTGAATACAGCCTAGGATAATATTTGTACAGTTATCTATTGCTATGCAGCCTGTCTTTCCCAAACTTGTCTCTCCAGACAAAAGCAACAATGATTGACTTTCTCGTGGTTTTGTGGATTATCTGGGTAGTCCTGCTGCTGCTGTCCGAGCTCCATCATGTAACTGCATTTAATCGGTGGGTCAGTTAGTGTTTGGGCTCAGCAGGACCTTTCTCTCTGTGTCATCTTCAGCCCAGTATTTTTCACAGTTGGTGGTTCTAGAGTTCCAAGAGAACAGAAGTAAAAGCTGCAAGACTTTATCTTATTTGCCACATCCTCCTGGTCAAAGCAACTCACAAGGCCAGTCTAGATTCAAAATATGGGAAAACAGACTCCCCTTTTTGATAGGAAGTGCAGAAAAGTCAGACTACAGAGGAACATGTACACAAGGAGGTGTGATTCATTGGGGGGCTATCTGTGATAGTTTGTCCTAGCTCCTGCAAGTCACGTCTCTCCCACAGCCAGATACATTCACTCTTCTCTCTAGACTCCCCAAGTGTCATCCCATCACAGCATCAGGCACTCAGTCACTGATCTCATGATCTCTGTCAGGTCAGGGTATGGCCGTGGCTCCCTAGATATGGCTTCCCTCGATCTAGAGGCCTATGAACTAAACAGACAATTATCCATACCCTATATACAGTGGTGAGACACTGACAGGATAAGTACAATAGATACTTCCACTCAAAAAAGGGGGTAGGGAATGGGAAGCACATGGCAGCCACTGGCCAAAAGGAATTCTAAAAGCCAGCAAGATACTTATTATTAGGACTCCCTCCTCCATGAGCAATGTCCAGGACAAGAAGGTTGCCTTGATTAAATTCTGCTCTTTAGGAGTGGTTCCCTAATCTACTGTTCCTCTCAGTTATTAGCTCTGCTCTGTAGGGTTCACCCTCTGAGGCATCTTTCCTTTGCCATGAGAATTTATCTGTGTTTGTACCCTGATAGCCATCTCATCCTGCTTTCTGCCCATTGCAAGCTGGGCACAGCAGTGCAGCCCTCTAGTCTTCACCATTACCACTGCCTTCCTCCCCTGGTGCTTTTCTGAAACTTGGACCCAATTACAGCTCTTCCAAATAGATAGTACAGCGTGCCATGAAGCTGGGGAGCAGCAGGTGGATTATTTCCTGCAATGACTGGAATATCGGGCAGCTATAAGACATGACTATGAAAGTAGCGGTTAAGCCACATATGAGAACTAAAAGAAGGTTTTCCTTAATATCACAAAGTGAGCCAATATTTTGAAGCTCCCAATGTATCAATATTGTCTTTGACCTCAGCAGAAATAGTCTTCATTAGAGTCCAGCTTCCTGGTTAATTTGAATACCATCCAGCTTGCTGGCTGATGGCATTCATGACAAAGAGTTCTCTACTAAAGAGTAGGAAATATGTGTCCACTTTAAGAGCTGTTGTTGTTTCCTCTGCAATATGTTCAACTCCACTATCTCCAAAGGCAGTGTTGGAAAGCTGAGAATCCTAAGTGTGAAAATTGTTAAAAGTGGGAGCTCTTTTGCCATGAAGCAACATGCTTACAATCGTTACTAGAACATTGCTCTTTCACAAATAATTCTAAGCTGATTTTCTCAAAGGAGCATTTTGTCTTCCTATTCATTCTCTTAGTTCTTACCTACAAAGGAGAGATACCCGTGGCAGTAGATATATGCTGGTGTATCCCTGACACTCAGCAGCATCCCGACCACTCAATATGTCATGTCATGCAGTCTGCTCTAGGTTTCCTATGCAGAATGCAAAATATTGATATCTCCTGGAGCGGGGGGGGGGGGGAGACACAGGGAAGGGGACATGTGCTAGAAACACAGTTGCTTAGTACTCTGCAAAGTGTCTCCTCCACTGCCACCATCACCCATGCACCTCTGCACAGGACAAGCAGGTGCACAGGAATCTTCTTGGTTGGAGAGGCCGGTGCAACACCTCTCTCAAATGTGGTGATGGAAGAGGAAGGTATAGAAGCCCATTCTCCTGGTCACTCAGGCATCCTGTGAACACAAGCAAGACAAAGAGGAAGTTTTGTTCAATGATTTGAATGGTCAAGCCACACTGTGGTTTATTTCTAGTAAAATTGCGTAAAATTAAACTGTCTTTTCCTCAGTCATCCTCTCTTCCAATCCTTCCCAGATCTTCCTGACTATCAGGTCAGAGTTGCTCTTCTAGCATTATGTCCTTCTCAATTGCAGTAGTAAGCAGGGTTGCACATTTACATTTCTTCGTTCAGGGTTTAACCACCGTGTTTCCTCACTTGACTTCTCTGCATGCTGGGTATCTTGTAACATCGGTGTTTAAATAAAGAGCATGTGGGATCCCAGGCATAGTGGATTTTTGCTGGTATAAAAAAAGGTTTTCAAGCAAAGATTCAGAAACAGTGATGAAAAGTATCCTATTATAAAAAATAGCTCTTAGGCAAAGAATTAGAAGACATTTCAAGAAACAGGCAAGATAACTTTTAACCATCAGAAACCACCTGTTTCTGCAGGGAAGAAATAAAGCACCCACCTCACTTTGGCCTACTTCTTCTGATGGTCTTTCCATGACTGCAGTTTTTTAGTGAATTTCTTACTAGTTCTTCCTCTTATTCCAGCAACCCCAAGGTTTCTAAATTATTTGTGCTCAATTCCAAAACTGTGCAAGGGAAAGTAGGAGAGGGCAGCAGTAGGTATCAGGAACAAGACACAACTGGGAAAAATTTAAATGAAGCAAAACTTGCTTATGTCGTGATCAGTGAAAACTTTCTTGCTTTGATTTACACCTACCAACTAAAAACCACCTAGCAGAGATTAAAAGAAGGAAAAGAGGTACAATCTCTTGCCCTTTTACTTTGAAACACGGGCTCCCAGTTAGAACTCTTAGCTATGATTCATCATGTCCTGGACTCACCCTATTAACCAATAATTTGTCATTTTGTTTTGTTTTGTTTCTTTATTTAAAAATGGATTCCTTTGTGCTTAGCTCCTGAGATCTTTCACGTTCTCAAATATCTAACAGTGAACTCTGCTTCTTGGGTCTATGGGAGCCTTAGACTTGGGGGTGCCTCCTCTGTCTGGCCAGACCAGACCCTGATTCTTTCATTGTTATGAAAATTACAGTGACCCCAAGAAACAGATGTGTCAAAGGGTTTCACTTGCTCTTCTTCCACTATCAAATTACCAAAGCTTCTAGAATTCTACTTAAAGGTGAGATTCTTCAACCTTCTGAATGCTTCTGAACCTCAACCTGAGCCTGCCTCTTTCATGAAGTAGGGCATTTGATGGAGATGCCCTCATCTGGCCCATATGGGAGAATTTTGGGTAGAGGAAAGTTGTTCCTACCTCTTTCTTTACTTTCCATGGGGCAGAAGTTGTAGATCCATGTTTCTCTGTATTATAGAAACACAAAAAGAAGAGACAAGAATGACTTCTAATCTAAGAGGACTTGTATCAGAGAATTGGCATGTTTTCCTTTTTTATCAAAGGATACTCCTATCTTTTGGGAGGGGCACAGAGGCCTTAGCATTTTCCTTAAAAGCAGCAATTGGCAAAAGCTGCTGTTCATCAATTCCATTTCCTTCCTTTGAGAGGAAAAACATCTTCACAACCTAAATAACCTTCCGACCCCAATGGGAAGAATTTTCCCAAGGTTCATGGCACAACCACTGTATTTTCTTTTTTCTCTTTCTTTCTTTTTGCTTTTATGTTTTTCTAATCTTATTTCAATTGTCTTTTGCCTTAAAAAATAAAACCAGTATATTTTGAATTAGCTTTAAAGGAAATAAAAGATGTGTTCACCTTCCTCTTAACACACTGACGAATGCGTGCTAAGACTTGCATTAATGGGTGATTAGTCTCTGAACACTTAAACCTAGTAAACAGCATTGTGGGTCACATTTCGCAAATTTGCCAGGAGTAGGCAACTTAAAATAATGAAGAAAAATAAAATCCAGGTTTATGGTTCTGTGTTGCCAAATAATCAAAGCTATTTGAAGAGCTAGAAAGAAATGCATTCTGACACTGCCATATTATTTGCACAACAATAATGGAGAGAAGAAGGAACCGACTTTTTCTATAGTTATGTCTGACAGTCTTCATTAATCTTTAAGATTCTTTACCCTTGTTTACGAAGAAACTGAATTCACTCGAAAGTCTATAAATATTGGCAGCGAAATTAATTGGACTCCAGATAACCTAATCCATCTTCCTTCCTTGATATCGGTAGAACTGAGAAGGAAGAGGTGTTTTCCTGGTGTGACATTATAGATGGGCACAGGTTTCCATATATTTGAGAAGAAAGAGATGTGCTGAGAGGATCGCAAAGACTGGAGAGCAACTGGGATCAGTGTTAGTCTGGCAGCCTCAAGACTGTCGTTGTGGGGGAAGAAGCACCAGGCAGCAGCCCAGCCCACTGGTGTTCCAAGGTTTTGAAGCACTGGGACCAGGTCCCTCTTTTGTTCATTGGCAGTCACCAGTATTTGTTGGCAGCCCAGCTGGTTGCTAAGAGCTCAAAGAATGCACGTCTTAGGGATTTGAAGCTGAGAGGTGAAGAGGAAGGCAACAGGTGGGAGGAGCGCTGTCAGTACAAACTTAACTCTTTCCTGCCAGGATCATGTCAGTGGCAAATAGCCAGAGTCCCTTATGTGTCCTAACAAAGAACGGTCTGTCTGAAGGTCTCAAAAATTCCTAAGTAGCCTCTTCTGAAAATGCCCATAAAATCAGTGTGATGAAAGGGTGAAATATTAACTACATGAAAGGAATGCCTTTCTGGTTTTTACTACTAAAAGCTTATGAGATGGGGGGCACCTGGGTGGCTCAGTCAGTTAAGCGTCTGCCTTCGGCTCCGGTCATGATCCTGGGGTCCTGGGATCCAGCCCCACCACGGGCTCCCTGCTTGTCAGGGAGTTTGCTTCTGTCTCTCCCTCCGCCCTTCCCCATGCTCATGCTCTCTCTCTCTCTCGCTTGCTTTCTCTCTCAAATAAACAAAATAAAACATTTTTTAAAAAGAAGGTCTATACAGTTTTTAAAAAAGCATATGAGATGGAAAATATACAAGTAAAAACCTATAATACGTGTCTGACCATCAAAAATCTGTATCTGATATCCTCCTGGTATTGAAAGATTTAGGCTGAAGAGGAAATCAACAAGTTTCCAGAAAGCTCTGAGAGAGACACTTTATTATGAATATTAAGTGTCCAGTCAAGTGGCCATGACTTTCAAATAAACATGAAACCTTTCTGGAATTTTTCTGAACCCTTCTATGTTTCAGGGCTTTTGTATGCAGTATTGGTATAAGAAACACATGTGTTGTTTTTCCCCAACAGTAAAACCAGATTCCGATGGATTCAGGAGAGCAGCTCACAGAAGAACGTGCCTCCCTTTGGTTTGGATGGAGTGTACATATCTGAGCCTTGTCCCAGTTACTGCAGTGGCCACGGGGACTGTGTCTCGGGGGTGTGTTTCTGTGACCTGGGGTACACCGGTAAGGCTGCAGACATGTGTCTGATGGTTTGTTTGTAAAATACTCATCTCTAGTTACTGTCTTTCATGTTACTTCTTCCAAGGAAATAGATTCTGAGGTGATTCTTCTTTAAGTCCTAGTTATAGGAATTTGCCACCCGGGCACTTGAGGTGCTAAGAGATATTTTGTAGTTTTGAGCTGCCTAAGGAAAAAAAAAAAACAAAACACAGTAACATCAATTTCACTCCCTAAAGGAGATTTATTTATTAGTAATAGTGATAGTTAACATTGCTTTCGGCTCTACTCTATGCCAAGCACTATATAGTAAGTGCTTTTTATATCATCTCACCGAATTCTAACAAAAACCCTGTGCCATAGGACATAATGTTATTGTCTTGTTCACATTTGAGGAAACTGAGACACAGAGAGGCTTAGTAACTCTCCCAAGGGCACGCAGCGAGGAGTCGCTGAAGCTACGCTTCAGACCCTGGCAAGTCATTCTCTAAAACTCAAACCTAAGCTCTTCCTTGACCACTTGGCTGCAAGGGGCTCTCTGGGCTCTTCACATTGCTTTTTATAAGAAATATAATTTTATACATGCAAAGTAAAAGTCAGTGTCTGAAATGATAGATCCAAGACTGCCAAAAGAGAACTTTACAAGAGAAATATTTTCTGACCACAGTTACCCTTGGCTATTGCTACAAGCAAAAATAAAAAGGGAGCTGAGATTAAAGAGTAAAATTGAAGAAAATGTTATAAGTTTCAAAATCTTTGTTTAGAGTCTTTCTTAGAGGCAACTTCAAAAGGATGCTTCCCAGAGATTCAGTGCTCTGCCCTTCATCTGGCGCGTGACCAAAGACAAACATATGTCATTGCAGGCCTTCTGTGGAGAGTCCTGCCACTCATGGTTTCAGGGGTGTTTTTTTTTAAATCTGGGATTAGCTCTCCTTATTGATCCACTGATAGAAGGACAACAAAGGAGCGAATTTTATGGTGGACAAAATCTATTTTTCAGTTTGCCCACATCCTCTTGGTAGCAAGAACCATGGAGGGCGCCTGGGTGGCTCAGTTGGTTAAGCGACTGCCTTCAGCTCGGGTCATGATCCTGGAGTCCCAGGATCGAGTCCCACATCGGGCTCCCTGCTCAGCAGGGAGTCTGCTTCTCCCTCTGACCCTCCCTCCTCTCATGCTCTCTCTCTCTCTCTCAAATAAATAAATAAAATCTTTAAAAAAAAAAAAAAAAGAACGATGGAAATGTGTGGTTCCCAGAGTCTCTCTACAAATGAGTAAAAAATGATAGAGGTGGAATCATGTTTTTGATGATGGTAGAAGTGGCTGCATTTCTGACAGACAATTGTGGGATGCCGATTTCCATGTGGTTTCATGCCCCTAATACCTGTGGAAATGCTTCCTTAGCCCGTGCTCTGAATGTGCCTTCTAACGTATAACGATTTCAACAAAGCCTCTCTCTCCTATGTATTTCTTTTCTCGGAAGCTGCACAAGGAACCTGTGTGTCCAATGTCCCTAATCACAGTGAGATGTTCGATAGGTTTGAGGGGAAGCTCAGCCCTCTGTGGTACAAGATAACTGGGGGCCAAGTTGGAACCGGATGTGGAACGCTGAATGATGGCAAATCTCTCTACTTCAATGGCCCCGGGAAAAGAGAAGCGAGGACCGTCCCTCTGGACACCAGGAATATCAGGTACCGAGTTTATTGGTACACTTCTCTGAGAACATATTTACCATGCCTTGTGGTCTAACCTGAAACTCTCTGTGCTGTTATTGAAGATTTACATAAAAAGGCTTCTCTGTATAGATTCTGATATGTAAAAATGAAGCATAACTTTAAGGCCATAATAAAATAGTTTCTGCAAAATTCATACCACAATTTGTTAATCAGCCTACAGACATCACTAAAGTCTGTGTGTCTAAGGTATGTCAGCTTGGTTTTCTAAAGTTCTGTGTTACTACAGTGTTTGATGTTACGTTTATATATGCCAGGTGAAATGAAGATTTTTTTTCAGCTTTAAATTCTGTGTCCAAAAATGATGTGTTCCATTGATTGACATTTATTTGTATTTGCTTATTAAAAGCTGCTCCAGAAATTTAAAATACCTACACTGACACCTACTGGTAAAATAAATAACTGCTTAAATGAAATAGCACTCCTAAAATAAAACTGTACTTTTTGTCTTATCAGTTAAATTATTTGAGAATCGGAAGAAAGGAAACTCAAGAACTATTTGGAACTTCTAGATCTTGTCCTCACTAAAATCTGGGGTTCTGTGTCACGTTTTTTTCTGCCTTCAATCTCTCCCCTTCCGAGTTCTCACAGAGGTGCACCTGTTACATAGGCCCCCTCTGTTGGTTACTGTGTACTGAGGCCTAATTTACATCACACTGAGTGTCATTTGTGAAAAATTAAACCATCTGAGTCTAAATCAGTAATATAGGTAATTATGTGGCCCTAAACTAATGTATCATTCAGGTTCTTGATGTTAGATTTTTCTTCATCCTGAATTTCCAAGAATAGTATTATCTCGATTTAAGGAATGAGCATTTCACTGATTACAGTAAATTACATCAGACATCACACTGAAGTAGAGTTCAACTGTTTCCTTTTGTTTAAGTCATTATTACTGTATAAAATTAATGGTTATTAAGTAACCATTCATAAAATGGTTACACAATTAGCTTGCTATATAATCTATATAGTTTCTACTTCTCATATGCCCTTTGTGTTTAAAAGTAATATTTTGGAATTACAGAAGCTTTTTTTTAATGTGTCAAAATGCAGAAGGTTAAATTTCTCCTGAACTTACCTATTTGTAAGTAAACTGAAGTTTGTGTCCCCCCCCACCCCCGCCACAGACTCGTTCAGTTTTATATACAAATTGGGAGCAAAACTTCAGGGATTACCTGCATCAAACCAAGAGCAAGAAATGAAGGTAAGCTATTGTATTTCCTAGAAATTATAGTTACTGTGGGCAAATTACTCCTTTTTCTTCCCAGAGTTTGCCAGGATTTTGCAAACTGAGATGCTACCCTGAATCATTTCTTCTCTTCTCCTCTCCATCATTAAATGGTTAGCTGCAGAGAGCCATGATCTTTTAGGTTCCTCATCTAGATCCTTAAGCCTGGAAAGCTTATGGATCGTGTCAGAGTATATTTGTTTTGATCTGAGTGTATTTGTTTATGGTCAGAGTATATTTATTTTAAGGAATGCTGTCCCTTTATAACTTTCAAGAGGGAGGAAAAAACAGCAGAGCCTTTTACATTTAGTGTGGGACTAGAAGCTTGTTTGCAAGGGCATTACTGAATGCAGATCAGACTATTTCCTGCCCATAAACATTCTGGGGGTACTAGCATCCTTTTGTAGAAGGAACAGTTCTTGGCAATGATAAACCTTAACTTTTACTAAGCACCTATTATATGCAAGGCACTGTTCCAAGTGTTTTGTCTGTTAATTCATTTAATCTTCATCATACTTCTTTGTCATAGGTATTATTAGTCCTATTTTACAGATGTAGAAACCGAGGCACAGGTAGGTCATGCAGTCAGTAAGTAGATGAGCAGGGATTCAAGCCACTGTTGCTCGTTCCAGAATGGATGCCTTAACCACCCACATCCTTCTTCTCTCTTTGCCCAGAGCTCTGCTTTCTCTAGTCTTCCATACTATCTTCTGCCTCAGTGATTCAGTTCTGAAAGAAATGCAGAAGGCTTAGAGCATATATAAGTGGCCTCCGGGAGCTCTGCAGATAGGGGATGCCCTAAGGAACCCTGAATGGGAGTTTTCCTAGCACAAAACCCATGGGCTTCTCAGATGGGTCCTCCTCCAAACCTTGATCTCATGAATGGCACATGATGAGTTGTGTAGCTTCTGAGTTTGTTATTATCTCAGGCATGACTGTGTATGACATGTTGGCTTAAACCCTGCCTGGTAGTCAGTAGAGCTACTGATAGTTCTAATGACCGATCCTGCATGTCCTCGGCCATATTGTCACTGACTGAAAGCTTTTGGGACTTTTTCTGAGTATCTGAGTACTTTTAGTCTAGTAATCATCCAGATCGTCGATTTACTGAAGCAGTAGTGGTCTAGAAACTTTCACAGACCATTTTGCGTTCCCTAATGTCTTCAACAAATGTCTATTCAAGAGTCTGCTATAAGCCACACATGTTCTAGGCTGTGCATACCGTGTCCCCAAACGTCTGATTCATCAGTCGTGTTGAGCTAGGTTATGCTGCTATCATAAACAGCCCTCTAAATCTCAGTGGCTTAAAACAGAAGAAGTTTCTCCTTTGTGCTACATTTTCATCAAGGCTCATCCGAGGTCCTCCTTCCCGGCACCCAGGAGAGTGAAGCAGCTGCTGGGTAGATTCTGGATGTTGCCCGCCATGTGGCAGAGGGAAAGAGAGAGTGTGGCAAAGGAGATGAGAAGTCCAAACCACCACAGTCCAGAAGGGGAAGAAGAACCAGAGTGGCCCTCCTACCACAGCAGACAAAATCCCTGCCCCGAAGGGTACTTACCCCCTAGTGAGAGGAAAACACACAAATAAGCAAATGTCAGATTGACAGCTAGGTGGAAATAAAGAAGCTGGTGAGGTGGACAACTGTTGACTGAGAGATTTGATTTAGGTAAAGTGGTCTGGGAGGGGCACTCACTGAGGAAGTAATGTTTAAATTGAAATCTGAAGGATTGGGGCGCCTGGGTGGCTCAGTCGTTGAGCGTCTGCCTTCGGCTCAGGTCATGATCCCAGGGTGCTGGGATGGAGTCCCGCATCGGGCCCCCTGCTCTGCAGGGAGTCTGCTTCTCCTTCTCGCTCTGCCCCTCTCCTCTGTATGTGTTTTCTCTCTCTCTCTGTCAAATAAATAAATAAAATCTTAAAAGAAAAGAAAAGAAATTTAGAAATCTAAACGATGGAGAGGAGCCAGCAACATGATGATCTCAGGGAGAGTTTTCCAGTCAGAAGCAGCAGAGGCCACGAAGTGGCAAAGAATTGTGATGTTGGAGAACAGAATGTAGGCTAGTGTGGCTTGGGACTCATCTAGATGAGGGGCAGGAGCCCAGGCCTATGGGGCCTTGCTAGCCACGGTAGGGAAATGGGGTCTGAGTCCATGGGTCATGGACACTAACTGAAGGCTTTGAGCCCAGGGAGCGACATAATCTGACTTAAATTTTTACAAGGTCGTCCTACAGAAATAATAAGTAGTTCAAAACGCTTAAGTATTTATAGAACACGTGTTCTGCCCACGCAGAGGTGTACAGGAGAAGACAGGGTCCTGTCCTGAAGATTTTATTTTTCTGATTGGAGAGGTAGAGCATTTTAACATTTCTTTTAACCGTTGTAATAAAATTACTATAAAATACTTGGTGGTTGGAACATTGTAGCAATTGTGTACTGACTCTTCTGAAAATTACAGATCTGTGGATATGAGCTTTAAAAAAAACTGACCAGAGTAGACTGGGAGGCATCCACCTGTCATAGAGATGAAGTTCTGCTCGACACTTAACCTCTGACTACAAATGCTGTTGCCCGCCCTGCTGGGCAAATTCCCTGAGGACCTGTTTAGGAATAAGCAACTTTTTCTCAACTACTCTTGAACCATTTTCTTGAACTCCTTGCTAGCCATGTAATTCACATCCCATAGGCATTTCTCAGCCTTTTATTGAAAACTGGTTGTTAAAATGTAAATCTGCCTAAATCCTTGAACCAATCTCTTCCAGTCGATGAAAGTACAGATTTTTTTACTTACTCAAGCTGAAGCATTAATTTACGTATTTGGAATTAAAATCAAAATTAGGCTATTTTCAATAAGAGTGGGCAGAACACAGATGGGGTTGTAATTTAAAAAGAGAAATGTGGTACATGCCCGAAACACTTGGGAGATGAGCTAAAATGGCTTTGTTTTTTTCAGATGCACAGTGTGTCAGATGACACAGCTAAGGGGGCTCAGCAATTTATATAAAATAGAGATACTGCTGTTTCCCTTTCTTGCATTCCTCCATTGTTTCATACTTCTGGAAGGCCCTCCTTTAATGTCCTTCGGGATTGGGTCCTAATCTCTGCAGACCTGGTTGTGTCACTCCTAAAAAAAGCTAATGAGGAGAAGGGCTGCAAGCAGAAACCAAATGGAATATGGACCGCTTGAGTCGTGTTTCTCACATACATCTGAATCCTCTACGAAGCTTAAAAGGCAGATTCTGATTCAGCAGGACTGCGGCGGTATGCTGCATAACAAATTACTCCAAAACGGAGTTGTTTAGCGCCACAAACATCAGTTATCTTCTAGTTTCTGTGAGTCAGGAATTCAGGAGCAGCTTAGCTGGGTGGTTCTGGCTCAGGATCTTACATAAGGTTGCAGACAAGACAAAAGCCAGGAGAGGGGCACTCATCTAAAGACCCATGCAGGGCTGGCGGATTTATTTCCAAGAGGCCTCAGTTTCTCACTGGGTGGACCTGTCCATAGGCTGCTTGAACGTCGTCCCTACTACCTGTCAGCCGGCTCTCCTCAGAGCAAGAGATCCATGAGAGAGCACAAGGAAGAAAGTGCAAAGCCTTTTGTGGCCTAGTCTCAAAAGTCACACACTGTCATTCCTACCACATTCTATATATTGCATGCAAATTACTAAGTCCAGCAGCACTCAAAAAAAAAAAAGAAAGGGGGGGGGATTAAACTCTACTTTTTATTGAAGGAAAGAATGTCAAAGAATTTGTGGACATGTTTTAAAACCACCACAGGTAGGACCTGTTCCCAGGTGATGCAGGTGCTGGTCGTTGGACCATACTTTGAGTAGAAGGTACTAGAAAGGACTAGCCAGTGAGATTTTATTCTCATGATGCTTCCTTTCTGGTACTGTAACCTACCTTCTGAATAGGTCACCCCCAGATAGATAACTATCTAAATTATTCTCTCTCTCTCTCTCTCTCATCTTATTAAATATAAACCATATCAATGCAAATTAATAGCCACAAGAAAAACTAAAGTTTGAAGTGTCTGCTCTCTCAGCCACCCAAATTCACATTAAAAGCCAATAGGACATATTCTGAGCAAACGCCAAAGGCTGGAGACTGGGGTTTTGCCAAAAGTTCCTCAACTTAACTAGAATAAAGACTAGAAACAGACTACCTTCCATTTTCTTCATGAACTTTACTGTGACTCTCTTCCTCCAACACATGGGTCTATAGCCAGCCACCCACTGAAGCTTTAACTGCCAATCTCTACACTTATTTCCATCTTGCTCTCTCCCCAGAGAATTCCTGTTCTTTGAGCTATTTTTATCCTCTCATTATAAATGATGGTTTCTTCTAGTTTAAATACTGTAAGATTAATTCTCCCAAGAGTTCTAATTTTTTGCATATTAGTCATTGTTGTTCCTCACGTCTTCCCTTCTCAGATGTGGTGACAATAACTCCATGTGCTAACAATTAGCCTTAAAAGGCTGTCTTTGGGTTCTATATTTTATCCTAATAGTTCCTAAAACTTAATTTTAGTAAACTCTTTGTTGCCCAGCATGATAAAAGGATTGATTTCTTCCCATCAGTCAGTAATGGGGAAATTAAAAAGTTACCATATGTTTCATGAATGATTTAAAATTTTTCAAAAAGGTTAAGATATAACACAATTAATATAACAAATACAACTTTCCTGAACATAATTTCTGTGAATACTCAGAAAGTACTTCAGGGGGCGCCTGGGTGGCTCAGTCGTTAGGCGTCTGCCTTCGGCTCAGGTCAGGATCCCAGGGTCCTGGGATCAAGCCGCGCATCGGGCTCCCTGCTCAGTTGGGAGCCTGCTTCTCCCTCTCCCACTCCCCCTGCTTGTGTTCCCTCTCTCGCTGTGTCTCCCTGTCAAATAAATAAATAAGATCTTAAAAATTTTTTTTTTAAAAAGTACTTCAGTGTACCCAGTCACAATTATGAGTATGCAGTGCCAGTCTTAGGAACAGTTATGGAATAGGCAGTTAGATAGATGCCAAGAAAGCCCTCTGCCCCTCCCATCAATAACAACAGATGTATGGATGGATGGATAGATAGATAGATAGATAGATAGATAGATAGATAGATAGATAGATGATAGATATCCTGTTGATGCCCATCATTAGCTTTTTTTTTTTGCATTCAACCTTACCCTTTCCCTGTCCTCTTTTAAAATAAAAACGTTTCGGGGCACCTGGGTGGCTCAGTCAGTTAAGCGTCCAACTCTTGATCTCAGCTCAAGTCTTGATCTCAGGGTCGGGTGTTCAAGCCCCATGTTGGGCTTCACCCTGGGTGTGGAATCTACTTAAAAAATTTTTTTAAATAAAAAAGTTTCCAGGAGAGGTAGCAGGGGCAGTGCATATGGTCCTGTAACTTGAATGTGCAGGCCACTAAATCATGTCACTGTGGTAACAGGTGGAGGAGGGACATTGGGTAGATGGGGTGGGTAGAGAGGGAAAGGTTGACACAAAAAGGAGAGTAGAACTAATATTGAATGGGAGTGAATTTTCTGCTTTGCTATTTAGTAATTTGACCTCATTCCTGCTTCAGTTACCAAAGCCTGACAAAGTATGAAGGGCCAGTGAAAGGATCCTTCTGCGTAATAGAATTTTCAGATTGGGCCCTGTTTACTGACTGGTGCTTCGGCAGAAAAGAGCCCTACTAGATTTTGTGCTGGGGAATTGAGATATTTCTTCTGAGTGTATAATAATGAGATGAGACTTGGTAATGTTCAGGACAGAATCTAAAATTCAAATACATGATCTGCAGTGGATTTTTATGTCCCCCTTACCAGCCCACTCATCATTCATACAAAGCTGAATAGTTTTTAAAAGAGCTTATGTCTTTGCTTTTGTTTTTTTCTTCTTTGTCTTCCATTTCCTGGGAGTTGGTGCACTAGAAACTGTCAAGGAATTGATGAGCCTTCAGGTCTACTAATTCATTCCTAGGAAGTTAGGTGAATGTGCCCTCATTCTATAAGATGCAATTTGAAGTTTCTGCTGCAGTCTTTCCATTTAAAAAATACTGTTCCTTGCCCTTTTTTGCCTCTAGGAAAGCTGTCCAAGTAACTGGACTTATGTCTTTTAACTCAGGGCTTGTTGTTCAGTATTCAAATGACAACGGGATACTCTGGCATTTGCTTCGAGAGTTGGACTTCATGTCATTTCTGGAGCCACAGATCATTTCCATTGACCTGCCACGGGAGGCGAAGACCCCTGCCACAGCTTTTCGATGGTGGCAACCCCAACATGGCAAGTTACTGCTCATTCCACCCTTCCCAGTGACCTTGAGAGCATATGGTTAAAGCCGCATTGTACCGTATGCTTCTTAATTTGCTGTCAGTTTCCTAGACAATTAGATTTAAAAGCATAGTCATAAAGATATTCATATAGCTACATAACGAACTTTCTCTGCCTTTATTCATCGGATTTCAGGGAAACATTCAGCCCAGTGGGCCTTGGATGATGTCCTTATAGGAATGAATGACAGCTCTCAAACTGGGTTTCAAGACAAATTTGATGGCTCCATAGATTTGCAAGCCAGCTGGTACCGAATACAAGGAGGTCAAGTCGGTATTGACTGTCTCTCTATGGATACTGCTCTGATATTCACTGAAAACATAGGTATGTATTTTCACCAGATAAAGGGAGAATATTTAATTAACTAGAGGACTAAGTTAACTAAAACCCAAGAGGAGACTCTCTAATGCAAAACTGTGTACATAACTGCCTGGGCTGAGGGAGACTCTGGAAAGAAAGGAGTTGGGTTGACTTGTAAAATAACTTGGTGCATCCAGCTTGCCTTAGAACCGTCCTTCGTGCATGATCTAACTAAGGTTTCCTAAAAGAGCAATAAAATCTCTCTTGGAAGACATTCCCGTGTCTCATAATTTGCAGAATTGCAGATAGAAGACTCTGCAAGATGGTCACGCTTTTCAAATTAGTAGCCTTCCATGGGTCCGAGCCTCTGCTAGCCAAATAAAAGTTATTGTGGGATGAAAACTCACCTCAGTTAAGACAGGATCCTTGTTTGCTCCTGAGCATGTTTATTACAAGCACAAATGCCAAATAGGCAAAGAGAGGACCATTGTATACTACCATTCAACTTCTTCTTTTTTTTTTTTTTTTGGTAGGAAAACCGCGTTATGCCGAGACCTGGGACTTTCACGTGTCAGCATCGACCTTCTTGCAGTTTGAAATGAGCATGGGCTGCAGCAAGCCCTTCAGTGACGCCCACAGCGTCCAGCTCCAGTATTCTCTAAACAACGGCAGGGACTGGCATCTGGTCACCGAGGAGTGTGTGCCTCCCACCATTGGCTGCCTGCACTACACGGAAAGTTCCGTGTACACCTCAGAACGATTCCAGAATTGGAAGCGGATCACCGTCTACCTTCCACTCTCCACCATGTGAGAATTGTCGTGTGGCTTCATGTCAGGATGTTAGGTTCCTGTCACCTCATTTGAAAATAATTGTGATTCCACTTGGCAATTCTGTGATTCACGATAATTATGCAGGGAGTCTGCCAGGGCCGGGGCGGCGG